CTTCATTATTAATACAACTACTCCCGCAAGATTTATGCAACAGTTTGCCTAACCTTTTTGAAATAAAGCAAAAAATAGGTAAAATTTGAAAATGAAATATAGAAATACAGTAAAACTCCTGTATAACGAATCGCTCGGGGACTTGAAATTTGTTCGTTATAAAGGAGTTTCGTTATATAGGAGTTTTAAATGCACTGTGTAGCGGTAGACGGGGATTCAAAAGTTGTTCGTTATACAGTAGTTTCGTTATAGAGGACTTCGTTATACAGGAGTTCTACTGTAATTAAAAAAACAAAAAATACCTTCCCATAAAGAATGATGGTCTTTTAAACACAGTTTTTTTAAAATTTTTACCCTTGTAAATCAAAATTAAACGCCAGACACCAATGACAAGCTGTAAGCTATTTAAAATCTAATATTCCTCATTAATCAAGAAGACAAAGAAGACCACACACAATTAACGACGACAATTTTTTATATGTCGCATAATACATATATTAGGTTGTGTAAAACATTTTGGCCCCCTTATCAATACAAATTTTAAAAAAATCAAAAAAATTTTTAAAAAATTTAAAATATCAAAACATTTTGGCCTTAAAACAAACCCTAACTCAAACAGCATATTCATTACCCATTTCTGGTGTAACCTACAAAAGGAAGAAGAAATAACATGTAATTGTAGACCAACAATCTACGTCAATACTTGAAAGGAACTCGAACAGACATCTTAATCCTTTTCCCTTAACTTGTTTGATACTCGAGATTATCATTCGTAATTGGAAATCCGTACGACGAAGTAATTTGGAGCGTAAAAAACATTGTAAAATATGAAGTTAGGGTAGATTTTGTCATAAAAGTAGCAAAAGGAGGAAGAACATTTTGAAGTGCAATATAAAATGGCAAACAAAACTAAAAATCCTAACCTACCTATCTCATAAGCCTAACCTGACCTACCGATTAAACTAAACCACCCTACATCATTATCGTAACTTACCATACATCGTAAGCTTAACCTACTCTAATTCATGAACCAACCCTACCCTACCTTTTAAGCCCAAGCTACCCCACCTTACCCTCCTTTCTAAGCCCAACCTACCCAACCTTACCCTACTTTTTAAGCCTAGCAATTCTTTTTTAAAAACCAAAACCAGCTCAAAATTTAAATTTCAAAATTCAATAAATTAAAATTTTAAGTTGTATTATACCAAACTACAGAATAATAATTCTAAATTATATGCTAAGAAAAGATTGTAAAGTCTTAGTATAATGTAATTAACACGTTTACAACGTCAAGATAATAAAAAAAAACAAATGTTAATGAGAAGTTGCATGACGAATGTAAAACAACAACTAAATTTAAAGTGTAAGGTAGAATTAAAAAGAACATTTGCAGTTTAATTTCCTATAAAAAATTAATTTAAATTAAGTAATTACCGGTTTACATTTAAAATTTAGATTGCTAGAGTTATGGCCATGCGAGGGGGTGAAAAAATCATAATTAAAAAGCTTTACCCCGCCCTATTCAAAACGTTCTTTTCCCCCAAGCTTTGGCTGTAATACTCCCCTCTTCCCTATATTTTACGCCGCTAAAAAGTGTAAAATTGCCCAAAAACAAAACTTACATACCTATAATATCTTACCTACTATTATACATGTACTATCATATCACCCTTACATCTTAAAAGCATCACATCATACTGCAATTCGCTGTAGCACTCCTAATTATGTATATTATAATAGCCGAGGAAATAAAATAATTTAACATTATAATCCAAAACATACATAATCATTTCATTTGCTCCACTATTACACAGTAAGACCTCGTATTTCCGGTATTCCTCATATTATTATTAGTTGTGTTCATTAAAATTTATGAACATATAGTTTTCATTGTTCCTACCCACGCGTGACTCTAACAACAAGAGTAATGTCTAAAGTTTTTTTTGTATCTTACCCTACTCTACTTCTTAATATTACCCATGCCTTACTTTCAATTACCCTAAGCCTGCATAGTACCACATGCACTACCTTCACAAAGCGTCATTTCACCTTACTACCGCTATAATATAAAGACAAACATCAATTCAACAGCAAAGTAAATTGCCAATCTAAGTGTGAATACAACAAAAGTAGTTGTAATAGACACTAGGTCCCCAATGACAGTAATTAAGTGCAAGATTACGTCGAAAGATGATAACTCTGACCTTATTTTCATGACAAAACAGTGGGCAGTGCACTCTTTAGGCAAAACACAATATGTTAGCTTATCAGTTGGCATGGTGTAGATTTTAAAGTAATCCTAATTATGTTGAGATATCAATATAAGTTGTTGAACTAATTATGTGCCCCTCTTAAAGAAAATTTCTGGGGTTAAAGGGCACAGAATTAATTGAAAAAGCTAATAACACAGTAAAACTCATCGCCGTACATTAAAAAATTTTTCTTATTTTTACCATCACCCTACATCCCTCAAAACCACCCTTTTGACGGTAACCACAACCCCACCCTTCCTCATCACACCTATTTATTTTTGGTACGCCCAAGCTACAGTAAAACCCCTAACCGCATTAAAAAAGTTGTAGAAGATGTAAAAGTTGATGTAACCTAACTAAAAGTTAAACCCTAATAGCCAAGTGTAAAGCAACTTTAACACGTTCTCCCATTGAGAGAACACCTTTACTCTGTTCGAGTGTTAATTTACATTTTTCGAGGCTCGAATGTTAACATACAAAGTGGGAGTAATTGTGAAACAGACGTGTACAAACACATACATAAAGTGATATAAAAATTTTTTTTCAAATTCTGATAAAACTTTCCTTACAAAATTTTTGTTTTCAAAAATTGTATCCAATAGAGTATTTAAATACCTGTCAAGAACATTCAAATTACCCCTGCAAAGCCGATAATGGAAAAGCATTAGGGTCCATTAAATATGTCTATATCAACAACAACAAATAATAAAGTGGAAGAGATCAACCAGAAATTATCAACAGTTATGTCTACCTCCATTATTACGTTATAGTAGCGTTTACTATGTCTACAACTGCTATTATGTTGCAGTAGAGTTGAAGAGAACACCACTTATTGAGCTAGGTAAAGAGAGGTATAAAGCTATAGAGCCAGGTAAAGTGAGATATAGGGTTAGGTAAAGAAATATATCAGTAAAGAGATGTAGAGACCAAAAAAAAAGAGACTTATAGAACAGAGTGAAAAGATATATAGGTATAGGGTTCACAAAGCAAAACAATTTAATCTCAATTGAGAAGAGTAAAGGCTTGGAAAGCAAATACTCAACGTCACAGTTGTTACATTCGGTAAATCGTCTCTAAATTGCAAAATTTAACATTTTTTTGTTTTTCAAATTTTACAAACTTTATTTTTTTTACAATACCGCTTTATGAGCCCCAAATGACAATAAATTTTAGTGACAGAACCGCCAATTTTTATAATAAAAATTAGCAAAATTTTTAAAGTTATAAAATTGTATAAAAAGTAATGAGCTAATGAAATAAATACTTCACCTTACTTTACTTTATTTACTAAATCAACCAACAATCAAAAAAATTTTTCGAAAATTTGTTATGAGAACATAACTCATTACTTTCATATACAACCTGATATATAAGTTACAAAAAGATAAATGATAATATACGACTTGTTTTAAGAGCAAATGCCATATGATACCAAACTTCTTATAAGGCAAGGTAAATAGTGCAAACAGGTCAACTGTCATTCCATGCTAGCATTGTAGTACCCGGCAAAAACTCAAAAAAAATATTATGAAGAGTTATGAAAAAGCTATAAGGACCAAACAAAAAATAAAAAAATAACTTTCAGAAAGTTCAACTAAAGCACTGTTTGACATGATCACCTTTACTTTGACGTGTAGTGTCCTGGTGAGTGTCAAGAACAGTGTTACTATCTTGCAATTCCAAAAATCAAAATGGTTTTCCAAAGGTCAATTTTCTAAACGTTTCTTTTTCAATTTTGCACGAAATTCAAGCTCTGTTTTCATTATTTTCTCAAACAGGTTCGGTCCGATTAAAAAAACTCTAGCCCGTGAGTGGCTCAACTTTCAGGTCCGGCCCGTTTCAACGTTAGCACTGGGCCGACCCGTTTCTCATCTGCCCCCCAATGTTTAAAACCAAAAACATGCAACCATTAGACACCAAATTCTATTTCCTTATTGTATGTTTTACCTGGCGTGTCCGCCGCTACTAAATCAACAATAAAATCCCCTACATCCCAACTAACATGACACTTTTTACAGCGTTAGAAACAAACAGTAAACAAAAATTCTTGCACGCCAAAACGTGTTTTTATGTGGGAAAAAACATAGACAAAACACAAATTAAAATACGGATTTTCCCACAAAGTTCACAGTGATTAGCAAAAAAAAAAGATTTATAAGGTCTGGCTTTGAATCGTGTAGACAACTATTTATAGATAGTATAATATAAATGAATACTTTAGATATTAATGTTCCAAATAGCAACAAAATTTCCCAATTTAGGTAAAATACGATGTTTTTAAGCATAGCTAGAAAAGCATAGAATAGAAAACCTGGTCATTTCGAAAAATTTTAAACCAAAAAACCATATAATCAAGTTTTCGTGGTAAAAATGAACCAGATTTGCATAAATTAACACAATTTATTCAACATACTTACACATTTACCACATAAATGTGTAATTACGTTCGCTAAATTAAATTACTTTTGCTTTATCACATGTTCCAGAAAAAGTTAATTGGTCCCACCACGAAAACCTGCCCTCTAATTCATTGGGTTCTATTTGATTTTAGAGATAATATATAAATAAAGTTAGAAACACAAATAAAAAGTATTTTTGTTGTTGAATTAACATGAACTTAAAAAAAAATTTTTTTTAATTATCCACCCCCAAAAAAACTAAAATAAACCTGCCCACAAAATAACATTTCCTACTCCATTATAAGTTCTTTAAGCCCATTTACAACTACGTTAGAATCAAAATCAAACCCTACCTGGAGTTATGAGACCCGGTATGTTGGCGTGGTATGCTCCGCTTTGGAATGTAAGTTGAAGGCGAACGAGTAATAATCTAAAATGCGTGTGTTAAACTCAAAAAATCATTTATACATGTTTTATATTCATTTGAGTTATTCTAGTTATAGAAAACATATTGAAAATTTATTAACAAAGCCCATTTTTACCGACTCTATCATATACTAATGTAACACTTACAGGTTTATTGTCCCTATCGACCGTCGTAAGTGGGTATGACCAAAGGCAAACTGTTGTTATTTGTCCTTGACTGTCCAGAACATCAACCTAAAACGATATATAAACAACGTATTCATGTAAAAACAACATTTTATCCCAAAAAACAACATATTTTTAGGCTTTGCTACCGATTAAACATCAAATTAAAAATGCTTATAAGTTATTCAGTTTTACTCTTAATGCACTAAAGACAAACAATAGTCATTAGTTATACATAACACACATATATGGTCATAGTATGATACTATGTGTCGTTTTATTATACAAGTATTGTTTATCATTAGCACTAAAAAATGTTAAACATTAAAAAAATTTAAGAAAACTAAACTTTATTAAATTTTTTAGCCTTCTCCAACCAGCCAACATCAAAAACTTTAACTTACAGCCTTGCCATGTACCACCTTCAAATCCCCACCATCATCAAATAAATCTTCATACGCTACCACTGGCCGCACAGTAACTCCAACACAGAAGCTCCCCTTCCTATGTTGGTGATACTCCTTTTGTCTCTTCACATCAAATACCTCAGTATACTTTTTCCCAATCAATGGCTCACTATCCAACCCAAACATTCTCCTCAAGTTGTTGTTGGCTATCAAAATCTCAGTGCTTCTCGGATCGATCGTGATCAACGCGCGTAGCCGTGTATGTTCCGCGCTTGTACTACATGTTTCGGTCACGGTAAGTAAAGATGGAGATTTTTGAATAATATTGGGAGAAAGAATAGCTTTGATTGGAGTTAGGTTGGGCACGTCGTCTTCTTGGTTTTCGTTTGAATCGGAACGGCGGTTACGAAGGGAGGATTTGCGGCGTTCTGAAATTTGAAAGTTAAAAGCTTATAAATGAAATGGTTTACTGTAAAATTAATTTTATTTTTCTTTTACAATTAATAACTTGATCAAATATTAATGTGCTTTGCAAAGAAAACAACATATATTTTACTTAAATATTGTATTCAATAATTATGTTGTTGAATGTCGTATCTTGCATAAAAAATTCTAACGAATCTACCGGTCTTTTTTTTTAAATTTATGGTTTTTTCAATTTAAGAAAATAAATTTTGGCCTTGAAAATTTTAATAAAATCACTTACTTTTGACGCACTTGCTATGCTTTCTTTCGATTCTGCTTGCACTATTGGAAAATTGCATATCCGTATTTGAAAATGAAAAAACTCGTCCAAGGATTGATGCCGCAGGCGATGGGGGTTGAATTGCTTTCTAAAATCGTTTTTAAATCAAAAATTATAAATCAAAGTTTTAAATCATAAATAAAAATCAAGAAATCTACAAAAAACATATTATGATTTTAAAAAGCCTTTCTAAAAATTACAAAAATTTTTTTTAATTTCAATTTTTTCGAAAAACGTTCTTTGAAACGTAAATTTTAAAAAATTTCACAAATCAACTAAAGAGTTATTATTATTTTGAAAATTTCAAAAATAGTCAAATCAGATGCAGATCGGCTTACCTTAATGTAGTTGTTGTATGAAACGCTGAACAGCTCGTGACCGGTAAAAGAGCCTGGGGTAATCATGGGCGCGTCTTCTGGAAACCCGCCCGGAGCAGAGATTTGGGACAGGAATTTGCGACGACGGAAACTTCGTCTTGTCAACTGGAAATGGCAATGATAAATGTTTTTTGGTACAGTGCTGTTTACCGTAGTTTACACATTTTTAAAAGCTGACAATATAAACAAAAACAAAACCTCAAATTAAATTTATTTTAAAATCTCCTGTTTTCCCAAGACTCGATTGTTACCTAAATCAATAAAAATAAGATTTTCAATATATAATCAACCAAAAATTTTGAAAAATTCAAGAAACCTTTACTTCCAACACGTTTTGTAGTAAAGCCATCAACAAAAGTACAACGTTTTTCAGTATAAACAACATATTTTAATTAGCTTGTAGGTTTTCTTAAGAGTAATCCAGAAATAAACTAATGTATATCTATACGCATATATAATATAGATATATCCGTTTTAAAGTTAGAAAATGCTTAATATATACACTTTGCTTACACTGAACCTTGATATATCAAAGTGATCTTTCAAACGTTCACAGAACGTCTCAACCGATTAGGTTTGAAGGCTTTAGTAAAACCGTTCCGGTTGTCAGTAAAATAATATATATTTTTTAGTTTTTTCAGAGATTTTAGGTCATAAAATCAGTTTTGTATCTAAGTTCAATATGAAATTTTTAAAAAACTCTAAATTCACTTCTTAAAATTAAAAAAAATTAAATTTAAAAAAATTAAAAAAGTTTTAAAAATTTTTATAAAATTATCAGGCTGTTCAATTACTTTTGAGCCCTTAACTTCGAAAATGCGCTTTTTTAAAGAGTACATATTATCTGAACAACGCAATAAAAAGATATTCAAATTTCGAAATAAAAGTAACAAAAAAAGCAATTTTAATTGACTATGTGAATCTTTTTGTTCCTGTAGCAGATTGTAAACATTGATAAGAATGGGCCTCACAATTTTAAAAACAAAAACCGTTAATCCGTGTTGCAAAACGTCCTTTTTTTAGTTTATAAGTGTTTTATAAAAGTTATAAATCTAAATGACGTTGAAGGATTACATACGTTGTTCCAAGTGTGTTGTACACAATAAATTACATCAAAAAGTTTTGCGCTTTGAGAATAACAACAACAATCTTTTCTAACGTTTTAAGTTAGAAAACTTCATACACTCCGTGACAAAAAATTATTTTTTCTAATACCTTTTAAAACTTTTTTTTTCATTTTTCTACCCACTGGCTAAAATTTTTTTTTGTTTACCCATGCCCTAACTGATTTTTTTTCATTCTTTTCCCTTTTGTTTCATTTGCCCATGGCCTGACTAAAAAAAATATTTTTTACTAACGCCCTACCTAAAAAAATATTTTTCCCCACCCACGTCCTGACAAAAAAAATTTACCCCCCCCCCCCAAAAAAAAATCAAAAAAATTTCCTCCCTCCTTCTTTTAACTTAAAATCACCCCTCAGAAACTTGAAATACCTACTGGTAAATCAAAAACCTTAACACTATTCTAGAAGTTATAATGCCATTTCCAAGCCACATATTAATGTAAGCTGTGAAGTGTAAGGGCAATAAAGGCGAACGGCCGAGAAGAAAGAAACCAATTTCTCACATTTTGCAAGTTCAAAAACACAAAAATAGAAAACAATTTGGAGCCGTTTCCAAGTAGAGGACAGTTCCTCAAAACACTTACATTAAGCATGTCATTGTTGTTGTCCACGCTCTCTTGCCGTTTCAGTTTATTGCGTTGCATTTCGAATCTGCAATGATTGCTTTATAGTACTCTGTTTACTGAGCAGATGGTACTGTTATTATTATCACGGAGGTATCTGGTAATGTTTTTATTATCACGGAAGTATATGGTGCTGTTTTTACTATCGCGTAGATATATGGTAAAATTTTTACTATCGCGTACATATATAGTACTGTTCTTACTACCTTGTAAGTATATGGTAATGTTCTTAGTATCGTGTAAATAGATGATACTGTTTTCATTACCACGTTGGTATATGGTACTAATTTCACTATCGAGTATGTACATAATACTGATTTTTACCATCACATAGGTATATGGTATTGCTTTTACTATCAACTAAGCATATAGTACTGTTCCTAGTGTCGCGTACTTATATGGTACTGCTTTTCCTATGACGAAAGTATATGGTACTTTTTTTACTATCACAAAGGTATATGTTACTATTTATACGTGAAAAAACATATTTTTCACTTCAATTTGACCCCCTGTAAATACCAAAAAAAAATATTATCTATACCCCACCTCCACCTCTCAACCTCCTTCGTTCCATTCAAACGAAACGAGAAAACCCGCCCGCCTTGATTATAATATAAAAAGGGAAACTATAACGTTTTTATACGTTGAGCAAAGCTTTACTTATCAATAATTAACAATTAGTTTAACAATGATATGTTTTATAGTTTTACAAAGTAAGCCCAATGTTTTTGTTATAAACAACTATTGATCAATGATAACATATCTTGTAAACATTTCAAAAAGTTCGTTTTTGAAATTTTGTGGCACAAGAAAGAGCAAAATTTTAAAGTTTTTTGAGACGAAATAACGTATTTAAATTCTTTTTAAAAATCAAATTTTAGAAAATTTTAAATTTCTTCAAAAAATCTGTTAAAAGCCCTACAAACCTATATTGTTACCCATATATTAAAACGTTATCAGCCAAGCCTTATAAACCTATATTAATACCCAAAAACCCTATCAAACCCCCAAAAAATGTCACAAAAAACAAGACACCCTTAATTTGCCTCAAGGCAATTTTGCCCCACTCAACAAAATTCTAATTAAAAATAAATAAACCAGACTAGGAATGTTTCGCTCTGTCATGCGATCATATTGTTTTTGCTGCCCCAAAGTTCTCCGGAGAGTAAACAGGTGGAAGAACACAACAATTCATAACAAATCCAAGTTAGTTAAGTGTCAAATTGTCAGAGCTTGGCATTTTATACACTATGGCACTTTATATGATGTATAATGTATAGAAAATGACAAACTTATGTTTTAGCTTACAGATAACAAGCTATATCTTAAATTCACATACATCAAAAAGTCAAAAAAGCCAAGAGTAAGGTAGGTTACAGCACAATAGGAAATCGTATGATAAGGTCGTTGAGTGAGAGGTGAGGTACAGTAAGAGAAAGATAAAATATGGTAAAAACGGTAGCGTAAAGTGAGGGTAGGGTAGGGTAGGGTAGGGTATTCTCTTATTCTCTTGTATGACCCCTTAATACAACTATAAACATAGTATAACAAACTTCAGTCAGTAAGTTAGCAGTCAATGTTTTAATTGAGCTAGTTAAGAACCAGGAAGCTTGTTTATGAGAGAAGTGGATTAACAAGCGTAGAACATAAAGAGACATAACAAGTCATAAAATTGAAAATAATATTATTTAAACACAAGTTATAAAATGATGTATAAACTACAACTTAACTATGTTCCGGATGACATTTTAAGTTTACAAAAATAAAAATTAAATTTAAAAACCAAAATTTAATCAAAAATTGTCATTTCGACTCATTTTTAGCGAAACCATTCCAAGAAAACTGTAACGCCAGATTTGAAAAAGTTCAAAAGTTCAAAATCTTCCACTTTTTTTTAAACTTTAAAACCTGAAAAACACAAAAATGCAAAACAAACCAAAGACGTCTTCCCTGCTGATTGTAAAAAACTATTCTAGTGTTTTCTGGCTGTAATGTATATCTTTAGAACAGAAATTGTGACGTCGCTAAAACATCTGTTTGTTCCTTTTTCTAGCAAAAAAAACAGAAAAAAATTAAAAAAGACAATGTTTGGAACGTTTCTTGACAAAAAATTATTGTTTTGGATGCCATAAGATGAAAAAGACGTTAGAAATGATTTATGTAGTCTCCTTTTGTGTTCCCTTATACAGTGGAACTTTTGTATAACAAATATATCTATAAAATCAACTATGAATTCAATTTTTTAAAACTAAAATATGACTTTAACCATTTTTCGCTATAAAAAACACTAAAATTTTTAAAAACATCAATGATTACATACAGAATGCAAAGTAGCGTTTCCTATGAGTGTAATGTCATGCAAAAGTAAATATTATTGGCAAACTTAATTGGATTTAAAAATGCAATTTTCTTCTAGAATTTGGTAGAAAAAATAATCTTTGATTATTTGTAAAGTTGGAGTGTAATCAACACTAGTAATTTGAACTAACTTAACCTCAAAGACAAAACTTTTCACAAAATTTCGAAAAGTTTTTGAACTTCCAAGCCCTTTTTATCCTTTTATAGCCTATTCTGCTCTACCCCCTCTCTCCTTCCTCCCATCTCACCCTCTCCCCCCTCTCCCTTCTAACAAAATTTTAGCCAAAATCAAAATTCATTAGAGATAAATCCAAAAAGCATCTTGAAACCCTCATTATACATTCACATTATCAAGGTCTATTCAACCGAGACATAAACGTTTGGCCTTTTTATATAAAAAAGCAAATATTTTCACAGAACGTTCCTCAAATTTAAAACACAAAATTCAAACCCGCGGGGTTATTTTTATAAATAGGACTTTATGCAACATGCGATGTTTAAACAGTTGGACAAAGGCAAAGAAACAATATTAAATTATTGAATTTTGCATAAAGTTAGCTAGTTTAAACAAAAAATACCCTACCCTATCATACTCTACCCTACGCTACCATATCCTATCTTACTATACTCTACCCTACCTTACCCTACACTGCCCATCTTAGAGCATACCCTAAGCAACTATCTTTTTATCGTTTGCTTAGTCATGCTCTGCCCTAATAAATGCCCTGCCCTTATAACAAAAAAAAAGTCTTGTCCTGATGTGCTACTTTGCCTTGATCTTGCCTACTTTACTCTGGGTTACCTTACATTGTCTTGAGCTACCTTACACTACCTTTAATAGTTTAAAAAGTCAAATAAGCTCTACTTACTCTAATATTACTTACTTTAATATAGGTTCTTAATAGCTTCATTTAAAATTTGAGCCCAAAAAACCGCTTTTTTCAAATTAAAACACGTTAAAACCTCGAAAAAAGTTAAAACCTAACTCAATTCCCAATTTTTAAAATTTAACGACAAAACCAAACAAAATTTTCTCAAAAAACAAAAAGACAAACTTATAGACATTTGTATACTTTTTGTTTTTTCCACTTCAGAAGCAGGAAAAAGCCGTGTACGAAGCAGAGACCGGTGTTAAATTCGAAAAACAATTTTTAAAAATATCTTCGTGTTTGCACAAGTAAATAAGCCAAAAAACGGTTTTGATGCGATAAAGAAGTTGTAATAAACAAGGTTTTTGGTGTTTGCGCTTGTTTTGAAACATCACAAAGGCAATAACGATAAGTGTTGAGGTAGGGGAGTAGTCTGCTGTTCTTTGGGGCTTTAAGCTTTTTTTTTAATTTAAAATTATAGTTTGTTAAAAAAGTTTAAAAAGCTACAGCTGAACGTGTTTTTGAAATAATCTAGAACCTGTTTGGGTTAAAAAAAACTTCTTCTTGCTTTGGCTAGACCTTTGATGTTTGTGCCTACGTATGCCAAGCCGGCCCTTTTCAAAGTTGCTTCAACCGGGCTTAGTGGGCTCTTTTCTGAGCTATAGGACACAGCTTTCCGTATTTTTCAAACCTTATCTTGTACAGGGCCTACTGAGGCAAAGCTCTGCCTAGCTGGAAGCCCATAAGTCTCACAACGAAAGGTGTGACTTGTAAAAGATGTATAACCGGCCCTAAGCAAATTTGACAGAACCCTTTGGCATTCGGCTTTTCTACAGAACAAGCTTAGGCTAAAATCTTGCACACAGTAGCTTTTTGCTATTTCTCAACCCTTGTTGGAAAATTTTACCAAAGTTTATGATTGGTACTTAGAGCTTTATACGGAAAAAAATGAAAAATATTATTGATAACCAACTGTTAGGTTGTTCAAATAATTTTGTGCTTTTTAAACCCAAAAATTTAATTCAAGAGGAAGCTCAGAATTATTTGAACAACCTAATCTTTTCTATTTTCAAAACTTTTTCACTCTTTGTAATAATCATTTTCAATGCAAAAATGCTAATCCAAAACACGTGTGCAACCTTTCCTTTCTTCGCAGTAAATTAATTCATTTTAATTAAGTGAATTAGAATCAAACACCAATATTTATTTGTTTAAGATATATATAGATAAGTAAACAAAGAACAGTCAATTACAGAGCGAATTGGAAGAAGAGCTACGAGATCTATTATGCTACTGAGATTTACAAAAGATGAATCTGAAAATCGATTCAATGTTAAGATATACAGTGAAACTTCTGTATTATAAAATGCTCTGGATTTTAAGATTGCTCGTTATAAAAGAGGTTTGTTATACGAGAATTCTACTGTAAGAACATATTGCTAACAAATGGTGCATATTGATACTGTATGTAAAGACAGCAAAGTAATAAACAAATATGACAAAAACTGTAGAAATAAATTAAGTTTTATTGATAGTATGCCAAAAAATATTTTTGGTTAGTCTAGCTGTTGTTGAGTTAAAATAACTGTACGTACGCTGAATTTCATCAGTTACGCAGAAGGCCAATACTTAACAATACAATTGTATTGTGATATGGTAGTTACACGACAGTGAAATGTCTAATGGCCATGATGACAAACACATATGCATCCAACCTTTTCGCCCATATATTCACAATTTGGCTCAAGGCCAAGGTCATGACAGTAATGTTCACATTTGCCTATGCATGCCACTTTGTCACATTCTAAAATTGTTATTGTTATACCATTACCATTGTAATACACAAGAAATTTTTGGTTTTAGCACTTTCAAGTTTACTAAATGATAATTTTTCTGACAATCAGTGCGCAGTAACGTGTTTTACAAAAATCATTTTTAAAACCGTGAAATTTTTACTAAATTTTTTAACCTAATATATTATAATAGTATTAATAATAATTAAAACAAGCTATTAGCCTTATTATTCGTTCAAATATTGACATAAGATGACGTTTTTCAAAAGCTCTTTGCACGACAGCACTTATCATTTTATAACTATTACACTACAAAAACTAGTCAATAATCTTTTATCTTTCAACTCAAAATTGGTAATTTTGTCTTTGCTAAAGTCATTAAATATACTGCTTGATAAGACTGTCTTATTTAAGTTTGTCATTGAAATTGAAAATCGTTTAAGATAACCCTTATACAAATAAGAAAAAACTTCTAGACATGCGTCATAAGTTTAAAAAAAGCTTATTATTGTAATTAAACCAAAACAAGTTGATGAAATTTAAAAATAGTATAATAGTACTAACAAGGAAAGTACCCGAGTTAACATTGAGTTTTAAACTTATCACTTTGAAATTTTTTGATAAAAAGAATAAATATAGAAACTTTGAGCTAATTCTGAGCCGAACCGGTTAGGTACCTTCTTTTTAATTTTAATAGTACATTTGTACTTATAAAACCATAAACATTTGTTTTTTGCTGCAATCACAACTTAAATATAAAAAAAAGCTACAAAGTAACTTACTTTCATCAGTCTCAACATCCGGCCTTAACACACTTTTACTGTAGACAGTAGAGATGAGTGCCAGAATCACGAGTACATAAACAAAAACAGTCTTCATTGTTAGCCGTTTCAACACACATTGTGTATGTGAAATCTGATGGCCGTTGTTTTAAAGGATTATGAAAATTGATAAAGCCTTATCAGTTTAGTTTATTGATGACTTTTTGCTTGAACTCCCCCAAGCAAGGGCGTTACAAAAGTAACAACTGCAGATGGCTTTTGTAACATCCGGAGATCGTTAAACAATACATTAAATTTATTGTGGAGAAAATAGTTAGGTAAATAATAATAATATAAAATTAGCATAAAAGTATTGATAATGCAGAATTGAAAATTAATTATTTACAATAAAATTTAAAAATTTTATTAGTTTGTTTAACTATTTCTGTGCCTCTTCACAAATCAATTACTTCGACCCATAATTTTTGTCTAAATTAATAATTTGATTTAGATTTATGAACTACAAAAAAGTTTAAAAGAATTTAAAAACCTACTTTTGTAAAATACGTTAATGTATACATTGTTTGTAACAAAAATTTTCATCTGTAATAACATAGGAAAAATTCTCTTAAAAATATTTAAATAGCTGTGATAATTTTTTTAGATTTTTTAAGTCACAATTTACTCTTGGGTGCCTTCTGTTGATTTTCTGACAATGGGTAGTACTTTTATAATCAATGCTTAAAACTTATTTGTGTTAGATTGATTTTTATATTGCTTGTACTTTGTAATAGAACTCTTCAGAAGCACCTCGGTAACTCGAGAAACAGTGGAGCTTAATTGGAAACAGCTACAATGGATTGTTCTAACCGTCTTCAACCAACTTTCACCATCCTCCCTTGCGTTTAAAATTGTATATTTAATTTGCATAAACAAGCTCTGCCTTTAGTCGTCTGCAAGATCTATAGTTTTATTTTGTCTCTATTTTTAAAAAAAATTGAAATCCATTTCAAAATAAGTCACTTATACAGCCTAATGGTGCCATTTTCATAAGGATGAAGAAACCATGACGCAAGTTACAAAATTTGAAGATTACTGTTGGACAATCCCTGTCCAAAACACTGATTACATTGTTATCAACAAAAACTTTTTAACATTTTAGTTTTTAGTTGTAAAATGCACGTAGTTATCAGTACACCTATTTTGGGGCTATTCTTTGACGTCAATGGTTTTTGATTGTAGGTTATGGTATACAAAGAAGTATGATTGGAAAACACCTTTCATAACTGTGAAATTTGAACATTTATGTCATAAAAGTTTATTTTAAAAACTTAGAGGTTTTCTACTTTATTATCTTCAAACCTTTTTTAGCTTACTTCTGAAGCCAAAGTCGTCAAAAAAAACTTTATAAAATCTCTTATATTAACGCTGATCTACTCACATTAAGGCGACCAATAAAAAACTACTGCTTATTGCATTTCCACGCAATAAATAAGTCTTTACTGACTGAGCATATGGGATCATAAGAGTCAATAATCTCCTCACGTAACCGAATTAATCGCAGCAATCCTTTTTTGTTGTCGTCGCCCATCGGTTTTATTTGATTGTTACGTATTCAGCCGATGAACCGTTTGTTGAGTTCATTTTACGAAATTTTGAAATTTTGGATTACTTTTGTTTAGATTTGACTGTTTTTTTAAATTTAAGTTAGTAATCTAGCTGATGATACAAAGTAAAAGACTTAGTGATATAAACTTCTACTATACTGTAGCTTTTTATTTTTAATTTTTTTAACTTAGATGAGCTCAAAAATAAACTGTTTTAGCTAGCTAGAGCTATAGCTCTTTTCTTTTCACTTAATACAGTAACTATATTAAACATGAATTTACTTAAACAACGTTGTGGTTCTTCTTATTACATTTTTTACATTTTTTTGATAAAAAAGTCAGTAGCGTCATGATGAGTATTTATAAAATCAATCTGTTATTCTCTTCACGACAACTAATTACCCAAAGATGTTACGTTTACAACTTGTTAATTCCGAGATGTTTGATTGTAATTCGTCGAAGCAATTTTGTCATTTTTTATTTGACCATTCGGAAAAAGAGTAAAGAAAGGTCAAGTAAGAAGTGGTTTGGGTTTTACTAAATACACAGTAATTTATCGATGTATTTTTCGGAAAACACAAAACTATATTTTTGTGGTTTGAGATCTTACTATATATTAGTTTTTGGTCATGACCTAAACGTTATTGGTGTAATAACTTCAGTCGTGTGTATTTTGTGACTATTTGGAGTTTTGTCAAAATAAAGTTTGTTTTTGTTATGGTTTTAACAAAAATAAAACAAGGTTGCAAGATAATGTCATCAAATGGGTGTGACAAAGAATATTAATAATAAAGCTTGAATTACTATAACACATAGAACTCTATGACAAGATTTGTAGCTGTTGATTTTCGTCGAGAAGAACAGTAAAAATAAACTTAATTTAAGATCAGAAGAAGCAATAAATGTCTTTTTTTGGAAATTAAATATTAAATTGTATAAAAAGTAATGAGCACTAAAATTTATATTAGCTATGAAACATAGCTTATTACTTTTTGTATAACCCAATAAATTTTAAAATATTTCTTTGGGTTCACCTAACCTGAAATTGTCAAGGTTTTTAGTACTGATATTTAACTTTTTCTAGCTCCTGTTTTAGCTCCGGCTCCGTCTTTTAAAAATTTCCACTTTGGCTTGGGACCCTTAAGGAACTCTGGTGTTTACACCGACCTTTAGCCTAACTTTTTTGGCATTGTTTATCCTATATCAATCACTATGACTAATTTAATTAATTAAGTATCTAAAAGTATCTAATTATTTTTAATTTAAAATGTCTCTCATCTTTAGATATTTTCGAATTTTCAGTTTCCCTAAACCGATATGTCCCGTTAATTCGTCTAATTTCCTGTGGCTATAAACTTCTGATTGTTTCCGAGCGCTTCAGGGGGTTTTTCCCGAAGTTTCGAAGAAAAGGGTTTCTTTTATATCGAAAAATGTAAAGAAAACCTGTCTTTTGCCTTGGGGTTTTTTCGAAATATGTCAAAATTTCTCCTTTCGTGACATGTGCAACTTTTTTGCTTTGAATGACATTTGGAACTTTTTTATCAATTATATAAAACGTTTTGATCAAACTCATGTTTTTCACGTTTCTATAGTTATTAATAGGTTTGTAGAGAAGATTCTGAGCGAACGTGCCGTGCTAAATGTAAAAAACGTTTCAAAATGTGTTGTCTACTTTCAGTTTTTTAAAGTTTTGAAAAACATTCTTTGTTTTTGCTTGAACATCAAAGTGTTGTGTAGTTATAAAGAACAGTTTTTGCAAAATGATTACTTGATTTCAAAATCATGATTAGTTAAAATTTATATTTATCATGTTGACTTGATGTTGAATGTTTTGACTACATGTAGTTTGAAAAGAAGTAATTTGTAGTTATGTCACAAGGCATGTTAGGTGCATTTACGGTATACACACTCCGTGACACAACTTGTTTTACACCTTACATTTGTTAGTTTTAGAAGTTTTCAAATTTGATAAGGGGGGGGGGATGACAAGCAGATTTTTTAAGTGTTAAAAATTTATTTTAAAAGTAAAAAAACTTTAAAAAAAATTTTTTTGTTGGTTTTTTTGTCTTACGTACTATAAAACAATTATCAACCCTATGGGTTAATGAACCTTATCATGACAAGTGTTACGTTAGCAAAAACAATAAAACTTGTTGTGAAGGAAGTGTTTTTTCACAAATTTTATTGAATTCACTTTACAATTCGAGTTGTTATGTTTGAAAGTAGGAAGCTTCTAGAAAAGGTTGTTTGTTTTGTAAAAGTTATATTCTTTTGTATTTTTTTATTTTTTGTGTAGCATTTTATGTATATATTTTTGTAGTATTACATCTTTAGGTTTGTCAGTAGCTTTGTTAATTTAAATATTTATAGAAATAATATTTTTAGAAATAGGGATAACTAACTTTTTTAAAAGTTCTGGTATTCAAATTAAATGCAAAAAGTAATGCTACTGATAATAAAAGCCTGTTTTACAACGTCCTTTTGTTTACTACCCTCATTGCTTACAATTAGCTTATATTTTTCCCACATCTTACCCTTTTACTGTTCAGTGGTCTCTATATGGGTATGAGAACGTCAAAACAAGAATAACTTTACGGTTTTATAAAAAGCTGTAACAGACAACTCTTACCTTACCATTTGATGTATTTTTGTCTTTTGAGTCGGTCAAAGAATACCAAAATAGATTTTTTGGGTAAACTTATCTTCAAAAATAAAGTGGTTTATCATTGAGACAGTTTTAATATGTTTTCGTGGTGTTTTACAGCAATAAACAGACTGAGAGAGAGTAAGCTACTAGAGACAATACCGTCGAACACGTACTTGTTCAGTAGCAATGTGTGTATAATAAAACTATATTTTTTAGTAAGATTTAGTAGGTCAAAGTTGAAAAGATCAAAAGTTATTTCTGATTGTTAAAATAATTCTGTGCCTCCTAATTTCTAAAATTTAAAACTTGCTTTGAAAGAGGGCAAATATTTATTTGAACAACCTAATATTTTATGACAGCAAAATCCTGCAAATTGTTTTCAACAACGAGACAGTTCTGTGGTTTAACATGCGGTTCCTTGACAGCTGGTTAACGATGTAAAGTCAATGATTTTTCACTTTGAAATTTGAAGATCAGTCAACAAAATGGAACAGATTTTTAATGTTTTTAACAATTTTTGACACGCTAGGTGACCTGCCAAACGATCGTTTTTGAGATGAGCAGAGAGTAGTTTTTTAGAAAAAGGGGCAAATTTAAATTTTTTTTAATTCAAAATTTTTTCACTTTTTAAACTTTAAAAATTCTTCATTGTTTAAAAATTAACTAGTTATTTAAGGATTTACAATTTTTTTTTTAAATTATGTTTATTTTTTCTCTTGTTTACTATGGCCTTCTCTTAGCGTACTTTGCATTTGACTGTATATTAGTAACATATATTTTACACACAATCTGTTTTAAATTACAGAATACAAAATGTTTTAGTCTATTCAGCTCACAAAAGTACAGTCAATTGTCAGTATAAGTCGTCTTTAGTATAAGTGAACAAAACTCTACTGTACTTTCTTTTTGTAAACTTCTTTCAGTCAAAAAATTTAGAAAAAAAAATAAAATGACCCTACAAAGGTTAATTATAAGGTCTGTGGAACCACTCTCTTCTCTTTAAACGCACAGTGCGTCTTTGAAACTTCCAGAACATGGCGCTGCGTAATATAAAAGTTTTACACTTGATTGCATCTGAAAAAGCCCGGTCTTGAACCTTTATTGGTCTTTTGCCTGTTTGTTGTTGAGGTCTTGTCATTGTTTACTTTGTGAATCTGTACAATATTGTTCTTCTTACAATTTTTTAATAAATATTGTTTTTCTTGCAAGCCGTGTAATGAGTATTGTTTTTGTACTCGATAGTGTACAAGGAAATGGAAATTTAGAATGGTTGTTAAGAATTAATTGGGGATTGTTTTTTGTTTTACATTGCATACTTATTAAGTTATGGCACATACCTTTTTTGGCGAATATTACCTTTCACATAAGAAGTGGATTTATATTTTTATTTTTGATAAAAAATAGTTAATGAATAAAAGTTTTTAAGTTTTTTAAAATAATTTTTACTAAAATAAAAGTTTTAAAATACCACAGTTTGATAAAATTTAAATGCTAAAAAATACATAGAAGGTATTTTTATTGGCAACCTTCTTTTGCATTTTCCTTTTCAACTTGTACCTAGCGTGCATTTACCGATCCGGGACGATATTGCCAGTTTGGCTAAAAATGTTTTAGACCGGACTTATGGGTGTACAAAAAGCCATCTTTGCAGGTAAATGCATCTCCAAGAACGGATACTTCACTATTGAGTTTCGGGTAGTATACTGTTAGTGGGGTTGGACGAAATTTGGTAAAAAAAGCAGTTAGGGTTGGCCGTGCTTTGTTTGTTATTGGTCTGGTAAAGCTCATGTTTCATGCTTAAGCCGTTGTTTATTTATTAAGTATTTAACAATTTTTTTTATTACAGTCCAACCTCTTTAGAATGACACATGAGACTAGACCAAAGTGCCATTGTAACGAGGATTTTCACTACCCGGGTCATTTTTGATAGGAGTTCTACATGTTTTTTATTCAAAATTTGTTTATTTTTGACAAACAGATTATTGTCTACAGCTCTAACGGCCTTAATTAGCAACCCGTGCGCAAATAAGTCTTTATGCATTTTTAGGTAAATAACTATAACTAACTTTAAAAAAATAACATTTTCAGTCAATATTAACAACAGATTGTTACCTATCATGACAATATTAATAACAGATTGTTAGCTAAAGTGACATTAAATCCGTTATTACAATTACATTTGCGTCATTGCTGTAACCCAACTAACTATGTTGTTTACCACCAAACTTCTACACTTTTATTCGAATTCTTCTACAAAAGCATCGCTGTTTGGCGAACTTTTTTCAAACTTAACATTGTGATTTGTAGTTTAAAGTAGTCGACTAATTTGTGTCATAAACATTACGATGGAGGGCGGTTGTAGCCTGCTCTTATATTTAAAGGGTTTTGTGATAGCGGTTTTTAACATTTTATTAATTGATTTGGGGGAACGACATGTGAATAGTATATGTTAGGGAGGGCTAACTTGACTTGTTGAATTATAAAGAGTAGAATATCCCCGCATGGCCCTGGAGGTAGAATTGAGTGGTTATTTTTTTTGTGTTATTATACGTGATGAATAATATTTACTCCTTGTTTTTTTTTCTTCTACAACTTATTTTTACTTTGTATCATACCATTTCCATGTTAATACCAACTGTTTCAGCCAACACTTTCATCATTCCTTAACTCTTGTTTCCCAAAATGACGCCTCAAATCGATCCAGAGCCGTCACCACGATACGAAGCTTTTGAAAAATGGGAACTCGAGTACATGTGCTGTTGCCGTGCCGTGCACGTTAAACAAGGCTCATTGATGATTGGTGTTGTCTCAGCAATATTAATACTCTACTCGCTGTTATCACTACTTCTCAGTAGTGAAAAGAATAGTGTTTATGAATATGTTCAACTTATGATGTTAATCTTCGATATGGCTACTGTTATTTGCCTACTGGAAGGTGTTAGGAGGGAAAACCATAAAATGTTACTGCCTTATTTGATATATATGGTAGGTATAGACATAATTTGTATATTATTTTAACGTATTTTATGTTCAAAGCTTTTTCTAAACATTTTTTACTTAAATTTGTTTAAAAAAATTAAGTTTGACGAAATGCCACAGAAGTTATTGATTTTTTTGGCACTTCGTTACAAATTTTATTGAATTTTGAAAAAAAAATAAAAATTTTAAAAACTGGCATATCTGAAAATAAAAAAAAGTTTTTCAAACTAATTTTAATTTCAAAATTTCAGTTTCAAGTATCAACCGTACTACTAGCGACATGTTCCTTCGGTATCTACATCTTTTTGTACCCACAAAACAACTATGGTTATTTAGCATCAAATATGCTGTTTGATAGTACCCAGTCCAACTTTAAAGCAGTAAAAGTAGCCGGACTGTTTGTTATGATATCTTGCTTCATCGCTCTATTATTGACGTTTTGGTGGGCATACGTGGTATGTCGCTGTTTCTGCTACTTCAAACAATTAAATGCCAAAAGGGAGACGGTAGAGAAACAGGAAAAAGAACGATACATGCCTAAGAGTTATTTTTGAAGTTTATTTTGTAATTACCATCTTTTAGTTTTTTAAATTTTAAGCCTTAATGTAACTCTTTAGCCTACTATAATATTGAAAATCTGAGGTAAAGCTGTGTCTATACGGGTCTTGTACATAGCATGGTAAAGCTTTGATAACAGTTTCTTAAGCCATTTTTTTTCACTTTTTTACTGCAGTAATTCTGTACTCTATCATATCTTACTACATACTGTACCATACTTGTAGTATTTGCCTTTTTTTCACTTTTATTGCTCAAATAGCCATGACTTTTCTAAACATTCCTTACCATAACATTACACACAATAATACAAGGTTTCTTCATGTACAATGTCTTTCCAGCATCTCACTTACAATTACATATGACATCTCATACAACTTTGATTGATCAATAAATTCAAATTGCTTATGATATTCTTTTAGTATTATAAATTTAGCTTTTTTGATAAAATTAAAGCACCTCATCACAACCGATAGAATAAGAGGCCAAGTCTTTATCTGATCGGCCGATCAGACTTTACAAATGCGAAGATGGCCGACCAACAAAAGACCTAAAAGACAGCGAGAAGTGCTACAAAGGACAAGATTTGTACAAAAGTCCAAAGTGCCTAAGATACTTCGATCCAGGTTTAGATCAAGCAGTAGGCCAAGGATTAAGCCAAAGATTAGGTCGAAAGTTAGGACAAGAGATAAGCCAAAAGGTAGGCCAAGGGTTAAACTATGGCTTGTCAGGGGATTCTATAGAAGCAATCAAAAGCAAATGTTGTATATTAATGTTGATCAGTTTAAGATTAGAAAGTGCAGTCTTTGACGTTATCAGAGAAGGCTAAAAAGAGAAAGCATCAAGCTGGCTATCAGTTGTTTCGCGCGTTTGTTGTGTATAAGCAAACTGAAGCTGATTTGAAGGTGAATGATCATTTGAGTTTTGTCTTTGTTTCAGGTTAGGTGATATTACCATTTCTCAGATGAAGTGATATTAACATAGGCAAAAAATCTTATCTTTTTGACAAGTATTAGTTGTTGATAAACAACGTTTTTTTTACTTTTCTGATAATTTTAGGTTTATGAAGTTTAAAAAAAGGTTCTTAAAATAGATTTTTCTTATAACAAAAGTCTATGGACAAAAGATTTTACTGGATTCACCAAAATAATGTCAAAAACAAACAAGATTGCTTTTTTCGAGAAATTTCTAGAAATAGTCTTTTAGAAATAGAGGATTCTGGAGCTAGAGCAATTTTTATTTTTTTTTCACTGAAACCCATTGAGACCTCGCGCCCATTGAGACCCCGGTCCATTGAGACCCCGAGCCCATTGAGACCCCAAACGCCCATTGAGACCTTGAAAGGAGGTTCGGCGGAGCGTCGGCGGAGACTTTAGGGGACTCGGCGGAGGGTCGGCGGAGACTTTAGGGGATTCGGCGGAGGGTCGGCGGAGACTTTAGGGGATTACCCCTGACCTTTTTAGCTTTATCCGACTTTACCCCTACTTACCGTATCGTACCATACCTTACCATACCCTATCCTATCTACCATACCACATCCTGAGATAACATACCACAGTATGTCATCATATGCCATACTATACTACACTATGTTATACTATATATGTTGTTTTACTTACTTATTCTACCATACCCACGGATAGTACACGGTAGTTTTGTATAAGGTTGAATAAGGTAAGGTATGGTACAGTTTAGAATGGTATAGAATGGTATGGTATGGTATTGTAAGGTTTGGTATTGTATGGTAGGGTATGGCATGTTATAATATGGTAGGGGTATTGTAGGGTAGAGTATGGTATAGTTTGGTATGGTATGTTTAGTAAGATGGGTATGGTATAGTATGTAACACAGGATATCTTATGGTATATTATAAAGGATGGGTATGGTATAGTTGGGTATGGTAGAAAGGGCAAAGGTAAGTTTGGGTAGGGCTAAAAAGGTTAGGGGTAAAATCGGGTATATAGCCGCCGGATGCATCAAAGTCTTCGCCGAATCTCTTAAAGTCTCTGCCGACCCTCCGCCGAATCCCCTAAAGTTTCCGTCGAATTCCCTAAAGTCTCCGCCGAACCCCTAAAGCCTCCGCCGACCCTCCGCCGAACTACCTAAAGTCTCCGCCGAATTCCCTAAAGTCTCCGCCGAACCCCTAAAGCCTCCGCCGACCCTCCGCCGACCCTCCGCCGAACTACCTAAAGTCTCCGCCGGCCCTCCGCCGAATTCCCTAAAGTCTCCGCCGACACTCCGCCGAACCTCCTTTCAAGGTCTCAATGGGCGTTTGGGGTCTCAATGGTCTCGGGGTCTCAATGGACCCGGGTCTCAATGGGCGCGAGGTCTCAATGGGAGGGATTCTTTTTTTTTGCTTTTTTAGAAACTTATCGTGAGGACGCGTTCCTTTTCTTTTTGTTCAACGAAATTTTAGATATGTCTTTTTTGATAAAATTGCAGTTTTCTATTATAGTAAGGTCTCTAAAACGCTAAAAATGAATGTGTTTTTAAGATCTGGGTATGAAGACTTTTACAATATCTTCTGCAGAAGCTTCTGTTTCATTTTTAAACTTTTCACTTGCTTTTTTCGTTTTTCTAACTCTTTTCCCAACAGAAAACAGAAGAACAGAACGCCACGAAAGACAGAAAAAATATTACATCAGGCAAAACGTTTTTTGTTTTCGTTTTCTTTCACTGTCAACAAAATCATACATCTAGTTGATTCCACTTCGGATGGGACGACCTTTTTTTGTATTCTCTTCGATTTTGAATTTATTTGATAATTTATATTTACAAGTAGTAAACGTTTATTTATTATACAAACAGCTTTTCGAAGGGTTTGTTCATATGATTTATGTTTTTCTAATTTTTAGGACTAAAATAAAACTTGTGGCTGTCTATTATACCAAAACAAGTAATGCCTTGTGCTTTAGAAGTTTTTGTATGGATAAAGGTTATTTTCTTGTAAAGAGGGAAATGGGTAGTGTATATCGTGCGTGAATTGATTTATTTAGGTAATAGGCCAACATTTTTAATCTTAAAATAGCCTTTTCAGTTTGAAATGCAAAACAATCGAAGGTTTCCCCCGAAATACAACAAAAATTACCGAGGTAATGGTGCCAATTCAAGTTCTAATAGCACATTGAATGGTCTTAGCAATATCTTCGAGATAAACCCTAAACCGGGTCTAAAGGTGTATCGATACGACGTTGAGATCATTATAAAGGGAAGGGTGGATAAATTGTTAACAAAACAAAGTGATGCGTAAGGGATTTTTTTAAATTTTAAAATTTTTAGAAATTTTTTGAAATTTACATGGATTTTTAAAAATAATAAGAGTTTTAACTATATAATCTATTTCATTTCAGCGGCCTAAAGAATCTTAAACGAAACGTATGTCTTTCTGCCGTCGAAAGTCTTTACAAGAAAGCCAAACTGCCCAAGTATGTCTACGATGGCAAGACGATTCTATTCTTGACAACATCAATCTCCAAAATTGTAAGTGAATATCCGTATTTTTTTAAATTTTGTGTTTAGTCAGAGACTGTCAAACCAGCTGAGTTGCCGGAAGGTGAATAGGCATACTGCAGAAACAATGAGTTGTTGGTTCAAATTACTCCAAATGCTAGAACGTCGCAATTTGTGATTGACGATTTGGCGTCGTCTATAGCAGAAAGCGCTGGAGAACAAACTGATCACTCTCATCGACAGTTTTTGGAGCTGGCCACGAGTCAATATCCAGTAAATAGGTAAAATAATGATTTCTGTGACAAGAAAATTATTTTTGACGCTGGTCTTCTTCGGTTATTTTGAATGAAAAAAGCGATTTATTACATTTTATAAAAGGTTACGGCCTACTGAATCTCATATCAGCTATGAAGACATAGCTCATTACTTTGTATACCACTTGATATAACGAATTTTATTTAAAAAATTATTATATTGGTTGATGAAGACGCCCTCAACTTAAAATTTATTTATTTAGCGGTCAGTACGAAGCAGTTTTGCCTGGAACATTGTTTGAGACTAAAACAAAGTCTTTGGTACCTGGAATGGAACTTCGAGTTGGGTTCACGAAAGGAGTACGAGTAGTAGAACAAAACGGAAAGCTTAAAGCTTTGTTGATTATTGACAGTAAGTTTAACGTAAAGCAATGTTTTACATTACAAAACCTTTTTAAATATCGAGTTTTTTCGGATATTGTTTCGTCTAACTTAAGATGTTAAAAGAAAAATATTAAACAGTAAGCTTTGTAGACTCACTTTACATTTTTAGTGCGCAGAACAGCTTTTATGACATCAACAAAAAGCTTGGCCGAGGTTTGGAGGGAGTTTCCTAATGACAAGAACAGAGAGTTACGTTTCCTGAGACATTTCAAAGGAGTACGATGCTATGGAAAACATAACAAGCTGGATTCACGTTTCCGATTAAAGGATTGACTCAAAAGAACATTGGAGATCCAACGTTTAATTTGGAGAACGGGGATTCACTGGTTGACTACTACAAGAATAAGTACGAAAAGAACATTAATGGAGAAATACCCGGACTTATCGCTGATCTGAAGACTCGTGACGGAGCCTATTTGGTTATTCCAATGGAATTGGCCGTTCCACTAGCAGGGCAGTTGGTGCCATCCGAAAAGATTCATGAACAAGCTGTTAAGCTTCTTCTTACGGTGAGTTTAACTTCGTTAATTAGGATAGGGTATGTTAGAGTTATTCCTCGCTTGTAATGATAGGTGTAGACCACTTTCATGGGTGTCATACTAAAGAGATTTGTCTGTATTTCAAGCCACTTTGGAATACGGTATGCTAAACTTTGGTTGGGATACAGTAAGTTAGAGCATAATAAGTAAAAGCAAGATAAGTCATATTAGGTTAGGGTAGAATAAGGCGGGTTTGCTCAGAATAATCATTTGTAGGTCCAACACAATGATACAATTTCTTTTTACAGGAAAACTCCGTGTTCCCAGATGCACGCCACAATTTTGTCATGAATCAGGTACGCGAGATCTCAACTGGCCTTGGAGGTGAATTCCTGAAAGAATTCGGAATAACAGTTAATATTGCAAGTAATGATATCAAAATTTCAAAACGCAATGTCATCAACTTGGAGGTCGGCAACAACGCGATCATTCAACCACAACCTAACAACCTAACGGCAGCTTCATGAGGGATGCGACCACAATGAAATTCTACTATTCTAACACTAGTTCTCTCAATTGGTGGGTGATCGCTAACAAGAGGACGACTAACATCAATGCTGTCAAGTAAGTTGGTTTATCTTTTTTATTTGGACTCACAGTTTTAAATAGTCGGCTTTAAGGTTTGTTATTCGTTTTGTTCAATATAGTTTAATGTCTATATTTATATTTTTTAAGTTTAAAACTAATGAATATAATTTTTAGGACTTATATTGCCAATCTGCATCAAACAGCCACTGAAGCCGGAATGCAGCTTTCTCAACCATCTCTGATCAAAATGATCGATTTTGTTCAACTCGAAAGTCTCTTTGTTCAAGCCAAGGAAAAAAACGTTACCTTCATCTTCTACATTGATGCATCTTATGTCAAATCTCATGCAAGCCTAAAACTGTTTGAAAGTTACTGCAAAGTGCTAAGCCAACAGATTCTTGCCCAAAACCTGCCAAAGAAGCCTCAAACCTTGAAGAATGTGGTGATGAAGATCAACTCCAAGAATGGAGGTATCAACTTCGTGCCAGTCTTTGCACCAACTCTTCAGAAGTATGACCTTAAGAAGAAATCGGATCTGATGGTAATTGGATACGATGTAGCTCATCCTCCGCCAGCTACAATCCAAGATAAGAATAATGCCTTCAAAAACAAGAAGCAGAAGAATCCATTCACAACCGAATCCGAAAGTGGACCTTTGAACTCGCTTCAACCTTCTGTTGTAGGACTTTGTGCGAATGCCGGAGAAAAGCCGTTAATCTTCGGTGGAGACTTCTTCTATCAGGTAAGCTACAGTTGTGTTTTAAGTCTTAAAGTACATGTTTGGAACTTTTAAATTAAAAAAAAATTTTGATTTTACTGACGATGGGCAGGCAGATCGTCTTCGTTTTAATACAGGGGTCATATCTAGGACCGGGCGGTTGAGGTGGGAGATTGAATGTTTTTTGCAAGTAAAATTTTGGGAAAAAGTTTAGCTTGGATTTGTTCATTTACGAAATTTTTTTTTGGTTTTCTTCTTTTACAAACTTAAACTCATTTGTTAGCATTAAAAGATTAGAATTCTTTTTCTTTTGCTCTTCACCAATCTTTTCTTTGTTAAAACCTTGGGACTTACAAACCTATAGTTAAATTCATAGTTTAATATTCAACTCATTTCAGGAATCTCGTCGCGAAAACGTGGAACACTACCGCCTTCGCAAGCACATGAGCCTTTTTGCCGAAAAAGCGAAGAAGGCTAAAAGACCAATCAAACGTGTACTGATTGTCAGAGACGGTCTTAGTGAAGGTCAATTTGAATATGCTATCAAAAAAGAACTGCCAGCCATTCGAGAAGCGTTCAAAGAAGTTTTTGGCCAACAATCGAACATCAAATTCACTTTTATCGTTGCTATCAAGCGGCACAACAAACGCTTCTACGAAGTCTACAATGGCCAGATCCAGAACACAAAAGTTGGACATGTAGTTGACTCAAAGGTTACTCGGACTGACATTACCGAGTTCTATTTACAATCTCACAATCCTTTGAGAGTAAGTTACTGTTTTTTAGTTTATTCTTAAAGTTTTAAATTTTTTTGAAAATTTAGAAAACTCAGAATTTTGAAAAAAAAATTTTAAACAGTACAAAATGACATAAATTGTAACAACGATAATGTATGTAAAGTGTATAAAATAATTGATGTTTTCAGGGTGTGCCAAAAATGACACAGTACAGTGTCCTCAGGAATGAACTCGAAATGTCATCAGAAGAACTACAAGGAATGATGCACGCTTTGTCATCAATGCATCAAATCTCTGCTTGTCCCACCTCAATCCCATTACCTGTTTACATGGCCGACGAGTTGGCAAAGCGTGGTGCCGACGTCTTCAAAGCTTTCAAGTAGGTTTTTACTTTGTTTTATAATATTTTGGCAATAATTTTTTATCATAATTTTTTATATTTAATGTTTCTGAAAGTCAGTGGAAAGTTTAAATATTATTTTAGGTCGTAATTTGACTTTTTAGAAAACGTTTTATTAATTTACTTATTTTAGTGCACTGCCAGATCATCATATCATCAAGAAGAAGATCAATGCTGGCGTTGGACTACTGAAAGACTTTACTGCCGTAACTAACTGGCTCGGTTATGCTACTGATCAACTCTCTGATACTCGGTTCAACGCATAGAATCTCAACCTTTTTTAACAACAGTTTGTATCACTAACCATAATTATTATTATTATTTATATTTTTACAACATCTATTAACTAGTTATGTCGTCTTTATATTTTTAGATTATACGTCTTGATTTTTGAATTTTATAGCTATTGTTTGACGGGTTCGTAACTATGTATTTAATACATTTTAATGATAATGTACTTTTCTACCGTGCTGAAAAAAAAATACTGTGCTGAATCTGATCGTCGTGTTTAATGGTGTTTACAAGACTAGGTTCGTGTGACCGTGAACGTTGGGTGGATTATTCTAAAACTTAAAACGTTAATTTTAGAAACTAACTGATTGTCTTCTACACATCAAAGCTGTTTTTTACAAGATATTAACTATTTCAATAAAAGCTTAATATAGATTTGCCACAATATAAAAATGATATAAAAATTACTGAACAGCATTGGGCAGCCTGTAAAATACAACATTAAAAAATTTCCAAAAACTGATAATACGTCATTCTAAAAAATACTTAAAACACGTCATTTTACATGTAAATTCTGTCAGCAGGTTGAATAAAAATTAAAATCTAAAAAAAAACATAATTTCACAAAATCCATTTTTTTCGAATTTATTACAATCGGCCGTTCAAAATGAGTGGTTGTGTCATTGTTTGTGGCGGGTGCAAACAGGAGTTGACCTGGCCACGTCTGCGTCAAAGAAATCCCCAAAAAGTAAGTTTTGTATCTGTTATCAATTTTTTTGTTAGGCTTTTAATAGCGTGCGGATTTGTTTTGTATTATCGTTTTGATCGTCCGAAATCTCTTTTAAAAAATATTCATTTTTAATCTTTTAGTGACGTGGCCAGCAAAGAAGCCAACGCCAAAGCAAGGCAAACCTTGGAAGATGAACTAGAAGCGATCCGAAAAGACGATGAGATTTGGGAAAAAAAGCAAATTGCTTTAGAAAACGAAGAAAAGAAGAAGACCTTGTTGGCTAAGAAGACCAGAATTGACAGGTACGGTAGATTTATTACTAATGAGCCTGTCTTTTGTCTATGCAAAACATTTAAAATTTTTTTTGTAACAAAAAGTTTAGTTGTAATATAATTCAGAACTTTCCAGAGTAAAACATTATTTTTGAAGAAAATCCTTATTTATCGACTGAAAAATTTTTTAAAGGTAAATTTGCGCTTCTTTATGCCGTTTAAGTGATTTTAGAAATCCCACCGCCAAATCTGTCGACATTACGGGAGACAAGAACGTTTCTTCGTGTTCCAAGGCTACTGGTAAAGTAGCCCAGATGGCTATTGGGCAAAAAAACGGTAGGTCTATTATTGGTTTCAAATATTAGGTCTAAAACTCTGAAACTGCGTTTTTTTTGGCTATTCTATTTAATGATCAAAAGCAGCATGAAAATGCAATTTTTGTTATATTACTAGCGACGCCCCTGACCCTACCCTATCTTTCCTAAACTTCTTCTACCCATGCCTGACTCTTGCTGTACTCTAAGCTTTGATTTTTTTTTTTATTATTTATATATTTAAAACATTATTTGTTACGTTTTTATTCAATTTGCAAATTTCAGACCAGTCCAGTCACACGGTCAATGTAAATGTAAGTACCTATTTAACTTGTTACAAGTTATTAGTATTATAATTAGTAATTGTTACTAGAATTTTAAATAAGATTATAGATAGGGTCGGGAATTTTTTGTCTTATCTCAATTTTTTCGAGTTTTCCTAGAGAGAGCGATTTCGTACTTTGCTGAAGATCATATTTACAGGGTGTTTCACCATATTTGGTTTGTAGAAACGAGTTATATCTTTGCAACTACATGTGCTACAATTTTAATTTTGGTACACTGGTAGTAGAGACTGGTACAATTTTTTGTGCAAAATTTTGGATTTTTTAAGTGCTTTTTAAGGTCGTCATTAATTTTTGAAAATGAGCATTTTGCGCCAAAATACACATATTTTCGGTTGAAAATGCTTTTTTTACTCGAAATTTTTCTAATTTTTCAATTCTTTTGATACAAATCGCATTTTCAATGTTTTCAAAGACTTGGCGGAGACTCGGCGGACGCCTAAATTTATCGGCGGAGGCTATGACTTGCTTCAAACATAACGTAGCCGCGTGAAACAAAAAGCATTAGTTTTAAAATTATCAGGCCCATCTTCACTGACGCTAAACTTGTTTGAAAATAACTCTGAATTAAAAATTCACAAAAAAGTTAAATCAAAAGATATTAACGTTCAGAAATAGACGCAGTTTTAAAAAATTTTACTTATGTTCAAAAGTTATGATAAACTCACTTTCTTCAAAAGTTAAACCGCAAATATATAACATGTTGTATCTTGTTAGGTTTTTTTTGTTATTAAGTAAACTAAAAGATGAAATACGTTAAAATTTTAAAAATTATTTGTGCAATTTACAAAATGAATTTAAAAACATGGCTTCTTTATTAATTTTCTTAGGTTTTTTAAATTTTTTGTGTTTTAGAAACTTTGAAGCCAAGCTCAGTATCAGTGGAGTTTGCCCTAATAATTTTAAAACTAATGCTTTTTGTTTCACGCCGCTACGTTATGTTTGAAGCAAGTAATAGCCTCCGCCGATAAATTTAGGCGTCCGCCGAGTCTCCGCCAAGTCTTTGAAAACATTGAAAATGCGATTTGTATCAAAAGAATTGAAAACGAGTAAAAAAAGCATTTTCAACCGAAAATATGTGTTTTTTGGCAAAAAATGCTCATTTTCAAAAAATGACGACCTTAAAAAAGCACTTAAAAAATCCAAAATTTTGCACAAAAAATTGTACCAGTCTCTACTACGAGTGTACCAAAATTTAGAATTATAGCACATGTAGTTGCAAAGATATAACAACTCGTTTCTACAAACAAAATATGGTGACCTGTATATAAAAAGTGTGAAGTCAATCAGAGCGGGGCAGGTCAGGTACTTCTTTGTTTGAAACATTAGTGAATTATAGGTTTTTAAAAAATCTGTGTGTTGCAACTGGAGTGTCTTCCTTGAAAGATAATAGACTAGGTTAGAAATAGGATTAGATGATGTAACGCTTGTTTTTAACAGATATTATAGAAATCGCCGGATTCTCGCCACAAAGAAAAGAAGGATAACAAGAAGAGCAAGAACAGAAATTCAAAACAGAAGAAAAAGAAGGCTGGGTCGTGGTCTGTGCCGGGTGTAAGGAAGAGTTTGCGCCCGGACATGTTTGCAAGGTGAGTATTGTTATTTTTTTTGGTTTACAGGGTGTCCCAAAATTTTTGAAGGAAGCGAAAAGCTTAGTTTTCGAAAAATACTAGCTTAAATTGGACAATTTTTTAGTACACTTGAAATTGCGGGCGTATTTGGTATTGGCACGTTATTTTTTGATATTTGGCGGACGGTCAGCAACGACCGGCGGAGGCTATTTTTTGCTTTGACAAATCAAAAATATTGATTTTCGGACCTTGTGACACCTCTGACGCGTCAAAATTTTTTGCAATTAAAAAATGTTTTTCTCTGCATCGGCGCACGACCGGCGGAGAAAAATGGCGAAGGCCATAACTTTGCTCAAACTCGATATTTTCTCACCGGACAACATATGGGGCTATACTTTTGAGTTTTCCAACCATTTTACTTATTTTTTAAATTAAAAAATTAATTTTTTTAAATTGGCGGGCGATCGGTGGAGAAAATCGGCGAAAACCATATCTAATTCGATTTTTAATATTTTTTCTCTCCGGACGAAAACTAAAGATGTTCTTTTGAGTTTTTCAAACATATTTGCAATTTTTTTTAAGCTAAAATATTATTTTTTTAAACATTGGGTTTGAGCGAACTTCTGGCCTTCGCCGGTTTTCTCCACCGATCGTCCTTTGGGACACCCTTTAGAAAAGAAATTTTTATATATTAGAAGTAAAATTATAATCGTTTTAGAAGCCAGGTGAAGGTCAGAAGGCGGGACTCCAAAAGACCCAAAAGCAAGTTTTTTTATTTTTTATTATATACGTTCGGTCTGAGAGAGAGGGCTCTTTCATCAGTAATCTACGACAATATAAGTCGTAGTCAATTCAATGATTTAACAAGTTTTTAGAAACAGTTCTACAAACAATAAAACGTTAACTAATAAGATAACTTCTAATAACTTTGAATCAAACAAAGCCAACTCAGATATTACCAATCTTCTCAAATCAAACAATAAAAACGTATAATCAAACAATATAGGATCAAACTCAAACATAAAACATATCAAACGTGATCGAACCCGTGCTAGAAAATCTGTGATGCCACGAATTAGGTCGGCTTTTTGGCTCAAACGATTTCGTGGTGGGGACCTACGGACAACTTCTTACGCTGGTACTGGTATGCTTGTTGGTTCACATGATTCACTTTCTTGTAGTGTCTTTTCAGTAATCATATAGCTGGGCTCTCTTTTGTTAGGTGCGAAAGTTCTCGACAAACTTTTACACCACCGGTCAGATTTTCTTCTAATACCATGATCCTTTTAAAGTCATTGTGTTCAGGAGCAATCAGGAAAGACGACGAGGTTTGGGAGCAACGCCAAATAGCGTTAGAAAAGGCAGAAAAGTAAAAGAAGTTGGTATCGAAAAATACTAATGTTGACCGGTACGGTAGATTTAAAAGCTTTGTTACTAATTAGTCTTTATTTATTATTTATACAAAACATTTAAAATTGTTCTTTTTGATAACAAAAAGTGAAGTTGTTTCTAATTCAGAACTTTCTGGAGTTAAACTTTAGTTTATTTTTGAAGAAAATTCTGATTTACAGACTGAAAACTTTTTTCACACTAAGGATTTTTTTTAAATTTTAAAATTTTTAGACATTTTTTTGAAATTTACATGGATTTTTAAAAATAATAAGAGTTTTAACTATATAATCTATTTCATTTCAGCGGCCTAAAGAATCTTCAACGAAACGTATGTCTTTCTGCCGTCGAAAGTCTTTACAAGAAAGCCAACCTGCCCGAGTACGTCTACAATGGCAAGACGAATCTATTCTTGACAACTTCAGCCTTCAAAATTGTTAGTGAATATCAAATTTTTTTAAATTTTGTGTTTAGTCAGAGACTGTGAAACCAGTTGAATTGCCGGAAGATGAAGAGGCGTGCTGCAGAAACAATGAGTTTTGATTCAAATTACTCCAAATGCTAGAACGTCGCAATTTGTGATTGACGATTTGGCGTCGTCTATAGCAGAAAGCGCTGGAGAACAAACTGATCACTCTCATCGACAGTTTTTGGAGCTGGCCACGAGTCGGTATCCAGTAAATAGGTAAAATTAGTTATAAGTTATTGTGGCAAAACCAACATAAGATGTCAGTTTTCATGGGCATCCAAAAACTGTATTGATCGCTTTTGTAGCTTCATAACTCGTCGAGTTACACTAATGTAAATATTTCCATGCTATATTATACATGATGAATATACGATCGAGTACCACAAAAAAAGTCTTTATAACTTATTGTGGCAAAACCAACATAAGATGTCATTTTCCATGGGCTTTCAGAAACTGTATCGATCGCTATTGTAACCGTATTACCCGTCAAGTTACAGTAATGTAAATATTTCCATGCTATATTATACATGGTGAATATACCATCGAGTACCACGAAAAAAGTCGTTATAAGTTATTGTGGCAAAACTAACATAAGATGTCATTTTTCATAGGCTTTCAGAAACTGTATCGATCGCTTTTGTAACCGTATTACCCGTCAAGTTACAGTAATGTAAATATTCCCATGCTATATTATACATGGTGAATATACGATCGAGTACCACAAAAAAAAGTCTTTATAAGTTATTGTAGCAAAACCAACATAAGATGTCAGTTTTCATGGGCATCCAAAAACTGTATCGATCGCTATTGTAACCGTATTACCCGTCAAGTTACAGTAATGTAAATATTCCCATGCTATATTATACATGATGAATATACGATCGAGTACGACAAAAAAAAGTCTTTATAAGTTATTGTAGCAAAACCAACATAAGATGTCAGTTTTCATGGGCATCCAAAAACTGTATCGATCGCTATTGTAATCGTATTACCCGTCAAGTTACAGTAATGTAAATATTTCCATGCTATATTATACATGGTGAATATACGATCGAGTACCACGAAAAAAGTCGTTATAAGTTATTGTGGCAAAACCAACATAAAACGTCATTTTTCATGGGCTTTCAGAAACTGTATTGATCGCTTTTGTAGCTTCATAACTCGTCGAGTTACACTAATGTAAATATTTCCATGCTATATTATACATGATGAATATACGATCGAGTACCACAAAAAAAAGTCTTTATAAGTTATTGTAGCAAAACCAACATAAGATGTCAGTTTTCATGGGCATCCAAAAACTGTATCGATCGCTATTGTAATCGTATTACCCGTCAAGTTACAGTAATGTAAATATTTCCATGCTATATTATACATGGTGAATATACGATCGAGTACCACGAAAAAGTCGTTATAAGTTATTGTGGCAAAACCAACATAAAACGTCATTTTTCATGGGCTTTCAGAAACTGTATCGATCGCTATTGTAACCGTATTACCCGTCAAATTACAGTAATGTAAATATTTCCATGCTATATTATACATGGTGAATATACGATCGAGTACCACATAAAAAGTCTTTATAAGGTATTGTGGCAAAACCAACATAAAACGTCATTTTTCATGGGCTTTCAGAAACTGTATTGATCGCTATTGTGGCTCCATAACTCGTAGAGTTACAGTAATGTAAATATTTCCATGCTATATTATACATGATACATATACGATCGAGTACAACAAAAAAAGTCTATAAGTTATTGTGGCAAAACTAACATAAGATGTCATTTTTCATAGGCTTTCAGAAACTGTATCGATCGCTTTTGTAACCGTATTACCCGTCAAGTTACAGTAATGTAAATATTCCCATGCTATATTATACATGATGAATATACGATCGAGTACCACAAAAAAAGTTTTTATAAGTTATTGTGGCAAAACCAACATAAGATGTCAGTTTTCATGGGCATCCAAAAACTGTATCGATCGCTATTGTAATCGTATTACCCGTCAAGTTACAGTAATGTAAATATTTCCATGCTATATTATACATAGTGAATATACGATCGAGTACCACAAAAAAAGTCTTTGTAAGTTATAGTGGCAAAACCAACATAAGATGTCAGTTTTCATGGGCTTTCAGAAACTGTATCGATCGCTATTGTAACCGTATTACCCGTCAAGTTACAGTAATGTAAATATTTCCACGTGTTTTAGTCAATATTACTGTGGTTTTCTATGGGAAATTATGTTAAAGTACACCTAGTGTATTGCTAATAAATATAAACTACTCACATAAAAGGTGATAATAAGGATCTGACATATATGAGGTTAGATACATATCAAGCATTAAAATCAGTTTAGAATACAGAAACCCTAATCAAAAATTTATTGATCAATTACAGAAAGCAGTATTAGTGACTTGGGATTGGGAAGCTCTCGACGCGGCCGTTTTCTTTGAACATTGCAAACGTGTGGTAGTAGATCAGCATGGCATCCAAGATTGCAAACGTGTGGTAGTAGATCAGCATGGCATCCAAGGATCTGAATCTAAAAAGCGATTATTAACAATTTCTTTCTAAAACAAACGGCAAAAAGTTGTGTAACTCAATATTTTCAGGTTTCTCAAACTTCACAATTTTTTGTTCGAACTCGTCTGCTTTCCTACAAAATTTGTTAACCTTTGCCTAGAAATCGAAGCTAAAACCATATGGAGTCGATTGGTAAGTAATTCCTTCTATTTATTTTTCTTGGTTTAGGTAAAAGACATTTTATTTTTTAAAAAACGGCAACGTTTATAACTTTTTGAGTGAGATTTGCTTGGGTTAACGCCTTGACATTGTTTTCGCGCAATTTTTGGGTAACAATCAAGTGTTTGGTCAATTTTTAGAGCTAAAAACTTCGCTTGACAAGGTGTTCGAATAGGGTTTTAAAAGTGTTAACGTGAGTTAAGTTTATGATATCTGCGAAAATTGGTTTTTGACTTTGGGTATTGTGTTAGGCGAGCTTTCGAAGTTTTCGAATAATTATTCTAAGATAAACTGTAAATTTAGGGAAACCTGGAAAACTTGAGCTACAGAGCAATATTTTAAAAAGATATGAAAAGAAAGCATGGACTATATTTGCCAAACATCTAAAACAACTGTATTTAAAGCGTTTTTTTTACAAAAATTTGTGAAAGGGTCTTTTAAAATTGCCTATTTCAACTGCAACAGATAAAAAAAGATAAAATGTTCATTTCAGATACAAAGACTTACTTCCCTTCATTCTCCTTGACGTCAACACCACCATCTGGAGTGTATTTGATGGTGAAGACGGTCTCATCGTTAACTTCATATCCAAGACATTCCAAGATGGCAAAGTAGATGCGATGGCAAATGTCGTCACGTTCACGAGCTCGAATCAAAAGTTTTGGACGTTTCTTCTGTTTTTCCACCATTTTGCAACAAATCCGACTGGTAAGATTTTAGAAATGAAATTTTGAATTTTTTTTAATTTTTAAAATTTGGAAATTAAAATTTTTTCGAAGATGAATTAGCATTTTTTATTAAAATTTGACGTTTTGATAATTTTCTTAAAAATAAAGTAAAATGGAAGTTTTCATATTATACATATTCATTTGTTGCCACTATTAACAATATACGTATGTTCATGTACTTTAATTGTCTTTTCTTATCAGTTTGCGTACTGTCTGAACTTAATTGTGAAAAAGCAAGTGATTACACTTTATCGAATTTGAATTCCGCTTTGTCTAATTTCTTAACTCTTCTTTATTTTCCTCTTATTTTGCCTCTAGCAATGATCAAGACAAGTGGAGTGGAATACCACAGATTTGTGGAGGGTCAGAAAAAGCCAGAGTAAGGAAGTAAAAATAAGGGAGTACGAAGGTTTTGCGTATCAGTTTATGCTCTTTTGAATACTGTTAATATTGTTTTGTTGAGAAATAAAATTTTGTTTTAGGTATTAAAAACAGATTAATTTACATAAAAAATAGATTTATAGGCAGAATCTAAAGTTAAATTGACAATAGAACAAATTTTGAATAGATTTTTAAAATTATTGTTGGATTTTCAGCCCATGGGAGCGTCATGCCAGTCTAGTGCTAAGAATGGCTTTGGTCTTTGTCGCTTCTGCCGCTTTGGCCATGGTTACCATCGCGTAAGTGACATTGGTTTCAAAAATTATAACGTAGCTGTTTCTAATGACAAAGCTAATAATAATAACGGCAAATATCTTTACCTTTTATGGAAAGAGCAATAACGTCCGTAATTTACAAAGAAGAACATTCTAGGCTTTTGTCGATGAATTCTACCAAATCTCAGCTATCTCAAATGATGCATAAATTAGAGGAAAGGACTTATGACAAGACAGGTTCGACCTTTAATCAACATTATCAACAGTTCTTGGAGTTTTTGAAAGAGTAAGTCACATTTGTCTTATTTTATTGGATTTAGGCTATGACTATATATTGCAATATTTTATAAGTTGGAAGTCTTTCTATGTTTGTTTTACAAGGTGGAGCTTCGGCTTTGGTTCTTTTGCAAGTTGGAGCTCTTGTTTAGTCCTGTTTATAACTGTTTCTGGCATTAGTTTTGAAGCAGAAACTTTGATTACCGAAAATTATGTTGATCTAGGTCTTACAAGCTTTTTCTTATCACATCACTTTTGGTTTTTGGGTTACTAATAACATTAGTTGTATTTCAGACACGACCGACGCTATGACGACCCAGAAGAATTCAATTTTCGATTTGAAAACTTTAGAAAAACAATTGAAAAGGTTGAAAACCTGAAGCATTTGGAAAAATTGACCAAGACTGAGTTTGGAATCAACGAAATGGCTGACAAAAGTGAGGACGAGATCAAAGAGGTAGGAACTTTCTTTACAAAAATTGTATTTTTGAATTGATTTGGTTATACGATTGTTCATTTAACGTATATTACCCTTCCAGATGCTGTTACCTCTAGATCACTACAAGAAACTGCGTAAAGAAGCTACCTTCATAAAGCCCCAACCACCTCGTGATCAGCTCCCAAAGAAGGACCAATCACCATATCCAGCTCACTTTGATTGGCGTGATCACGGCGTAGTCACGCCGAGTCGTTCTCAACATCATTGTGGGTCTTGCTGGGCGTTTGCTACTGTAACTACAGTTGAAACAACATATGCTATTGCTCATGGAGTATTGAGAAATCTATCACAACAAGAATTACTGGATTGTAATTTGGAGAACAACGCTTGCAATGGTGGGGATGTGGACAAGGCTATGAGGTAGAGTAGTTTAAATTGTTAAATGGTGCAAGGTTAAGTAGAAATGGCAAAGGAGGTAAGGTCCAGCAGAAATGGCACAAATAAGGTAAAAAATAGGTATTACGGAGTTAAAAAAAGTTTTGTCGTTAATTTGCTATGTCTCTAATGTTAAAAAGCGACAGGGCTTTTTGAGCACTCTAATAAATATTAGCTTTGTAGCAGTTGAAAAGATAGACTTATTACGCCAAAGAAGTAGGTAATAATTATTATTCAGGTTTGTTCACGACCACGGCCTAATGACAGCCGACCAATACCCATATGTTGCTCATCGTCAAAACTCGTGTGCCCTAAACGACTACGAAGGCCCAACAACCAAACTAGAACTAGCCTACTTCCTAAACCCAGATGAAAACGCTATGATGGAGTGGCTCGTCAACTACGGTCCAGTCAATGTTGGTATCTCCGTTCCACCAGACATGACACCGTACAAAAGTGGAGTATATCATCCATCTGCTTACGACTGCCAGTTCAGAGTACTAGGTCTACATGCTTTGAATATTGTTGGATATGGTACAAATGAGGATGGGGAGAAGTACTGGATTGTGAAGAATTCGTGGGGGCCAAAATGGGGCGTGGAACAAGGTTTTGTCTACTTTGCCCGAGGCGTTAATGCTTGTGGAATTGAGGACGAGCCTATTGGTATCTTGGCTTGAATTGGACTTGAATAAAATTTAATTTTTTGAAGTAAAAATTAATTTTTTAAATTATGTTATGATTTTTAGCCTTCTTAACCAAAAGGTTTTATACCGTAATCAGTAGTTTTGAAATTTCAAAAAATTTTATTTTCTTAAAAAATTCTAAAACTTATAATTAAAAATCCGTTTCACAGAAGTTGAGGATTGTGCTTCCAACGTGCGCATCTTCAACGATGTTACAGTAGTTGCTCCTCGGCAGCTTTCAAATCTTGTCCGAAATAGCCTCATAAACTCGTTGCGTACTAACTGACTGGTTGCGAACAGTACTACTGGTATAATCGAGTTAGATATTAGACCCGTTACTCTGGTTATTGGCACTGGGAACATAGTGGGTATGTTGTAACGTTCCCCATAAAAGGTTATGATATCATGAATGAGTAGTGGGCAAAACATCAAAAGCCCCGACCATAGTAAACGTTTATGGATGTTTATACTGCCTAAAGGAAAGTTAATTTTATGGTTTCGAAGACTTATGTAAAGTGGTTTACTTTGAATTTCACAATTTTTTAGGTTGTGTAAAAAGTAATGAGCTGTCTCGGATGATGTAAATTTCACTGGCTCGTTATTTTTTATATACAATAAATAAAATATAACAGTAAACTAATTTTTTACATTTTTTTACGTTAAAACAGACATTTCAAAACCTGTAACTACACTAATTATATGCTATTTATGAAAACCTACTATCTTGTTTACTTTGCCATCTGACGAAGAACACAAACCCAGCGCCAACATACAATACACCAGCAATTACATTCGTAGACAGCAAAATCGTCTGGTAAAACACCCCTTGCCAAGCCTTCAACCCTTGTTTAGACGGACCACCATATGCTTCAAGTCTCGCCACTTCCGTAGTGTAATACGTAATACAAGGCAGTATAACATACCCAAAACTCCACGATAACGTTATGGCCACCAAGTTATTTGTTTTAGTCCAAGTTTGCATATAATGTTGTAGAAACAGAATTGAATGAAAACGATGAATCGATATGACAAAGATGTGTAGGGTGAGGTTGTAGCGGCTTGAGATCATTATCCAGTAACGGAGATCAGTGGGGGTTACGGTAGTTTGGTCTAAGGCGTTTGTGGTGATCCTTGTGAGTTGACCCATGCAAATTGTGAAGTTCTGGAAATGGCAAAAGTTAATTTAGCTAAAAAATTTTTTAATATGGAAAGACGATGTTATAAAATGTGTAACCATTAAATAAACGTTGAAGTGTTTAAGCAATTCTTTGGCCCTGTTGTGGTTTTAAGTTAAAATCATTTTGAGCAGAGTTTCAAAATTTAACATTTTCGGTCTCAGTTTCGCCTTTGTTAAACTCTATCTTACCTGACTAAGAAACAAATAAAAAGCAGGATACTTTGCACATAATCGAAAAGTGCAATATGTCACAATTCCTCCGAAAATGCCAAAAACAATATTAATCAGCATATAACAAACCGTGAAAACGCTGAGAAAGATATGTTCATCCATATATAACTTTTTTAAATTTTAAATCATGTATGTAGGTTAATTGTAGGATATAGAAATGTACTTCATGACCTTGTACACAACAAAGATCTACTTAATAGCTTAGTATTATACATACATATAGCAATAATCATGTAAAATGCCAGTACTTGTTCCTAATTAAAATCAACTTTAAGGCACGTTATACCTTGTAGTAGGCTAAAATACTGATAAGTCTGAATTCTCAAGTATAAAAAATTTTCTTTAGAGTTAATGCTAAACTACCCTTTAGTAGCAAGGATAAATACACTTTCAAATAACATAAACACCTTCAAAAGCAAGGTAATACACCATCAGAAGCAAGGTAAATACGCTTTCAAAAACTGTAACAAACTAAGCTACAATAACTTGCATCCAACAACAATACCGAGCGGAGAATACGTATATGACAAAACCAGTAGGTTATGAGGAGAATGGAAATCTTTACGTCGAAATTCTAAATGACAAGACCAAATTATACAGTGGAACACGAAATAACGTACAATCCTTAATTAAAACACATTTTATTACATGTTATGCGGTATTTTATCATGTATGAAGGTTAATAACCGGTTTTTCGAAATAGCTTTTAGTTTGTTGGTAACCAAACGTTTATATCGTTTTTTGCAAGATTTTTGCACAGGTTACTGTATTTTTTGCCATGTTTATTGTGTAGTCTTCGGAGAAGAAGTTTAGTTAGGGAAAGAGGAGATGAACATTTATTGGTAAAGGAAACAAAGAATTTAAATTTTTTTAAAAATTATTGATTTTTTCTTCTCGCAAGTAAGGAACCAGGCTGGCCTCACTATGATTGACAGCTAACGTTTTATATAGGAAGATTATATTAATAAAAGGTCTTCAGGAAAGTATTGAGCTTTTCAGTCAATTACAGAAAAATCAAGATCAAAAATTATATTTTGAATTCCCCGACAAATTGGCATTGTGTTTCAAGCTTATAACTTCGTCATTTTTTAGTATTTAAGAATTTTTCTTTGATATACTAGTAGAAAACCGTTAAATGATCTTATGTCTTTTAAAAATTGTAAGCGTATCTTGTCTAAGTCAATAAAAGTGTTTGAAACACAATAACAAATATGCTGTTGGCAGGAACTTCATGTATTTTAATTTTAAAAATCAAAAGCGCAAGCTAAAATTTTTTATGAGTATTACTATTGGTGCTACAAAAACACTGTGCAAAAAAATGGACCTGAATCTGCATGAGAGTTAGGTACCTACCTCATCAATTCTTCTAACAGCCGTTTTATCTTTCAAACTAATTTTTACTTTCAAAATTCTTAAAAAATTATTAACAAAGTCTATTGACCGAAGCCGATGCACTGGACTGAGCATCCTCCGCTCTTGTCCTTATAGACGTCACCGCCGTTGATCCTTGGAACTTTTTGAAAGAAGTTTGAAATAACGCGTTAAATTCTCGACGTACTAATTTGCTGGTTACAAATAGCACCACTGGTATTAGCGAAGTTGTTATTATACCTATACCTCTCGTCAGTACATGCGGAAAGTTCTGCATAAAGCTGATATGGCGTGTTACTACAGTAATAGTGTCGTGGATAAGCAGGGGGCAGAACATCCAAATTCCGGACCATAATAAACGTTTGTGAATGTTCAGAGTACCTAAAACGTGGCGAATATTGTAAATCCTTTAAAATTTGAAAATTTGTTGGCTACGGCCAACTCCCGGACTACAAAAGGCAAAAAAACCTACCCTTCTAAAAAAACTTTGGCTAACAAGAAATCATATATTATAATAGAGCACAATTAATAAGGAAACTACTCAACTTGACCCACTCAGAAACAGCTTAAAATTTTTATACGTGTTGTGTGTACCACAGGTAGTACACATACAAAATTTTAGCGGGAAATTCAAACCCTAATTTCTTGATCTCAACTTTCTTTAGATTTTCTAAGAAGCGCGATTCAATACTTCTCTAAAGCTCTTATGTTTACAAGATCTTTTTATATATAAAGTTTGAAGTCAATCTACAATTCGAATTCCTTCCTTCTTCTAGGCAGTGCAACAAGCGATTGCTATAACTTACTGTCTTGTTTATTCTCCCAGTGGCACAAAAACGCAATCCCAGCACTCAGGTACAATATACCAGCAACAATATCTGAAGACAAAATAACCGCACTGTAAAACACACCCTGCCAGCTTTTCAAACCGGCCGAAAAGTGCAAAAAGTTACTGTAAGATTCAACTTGTGACACGTCCGCATTGTAAAATGTTATAATCGGAAAAATAATGTAGGTCAAAGTCCAGGCAATAATTATGGCCACTAAATTACTGCTTTTAGTCCAGGTTTGCATATAATGTTGGAGAAACGAAATGGAATGAAATCGATGAACTGATATGATAAGGATATGTAAGGTTAGGTTATAGCGACTTGCGACCATCAGCCAGTATCGTAGATTAGTTGGAGTTACTAACATTTGCTCCATGCAGTATACCATTACTCTGGTCAGTTGGCCGACGCATACGCAAAAGTTCTAAAAAATTTAAAATTAAAAAAAAAACCAAACTTACAATCAAGGATTCTATTTACTAAGCTGTATAAAATATACTAAGCTACGTCTCATAGCAAATATAGAATTTAGTAGCTCATTACTTTTTATACATTTTAATATATCATTTTATGCATTTTATACCGTTTTTTACCATCTCTAGCCTAGAGCCGTAGGATAGAACCCTATAACAAAAACCTAGCTCACAGTTTTAGCCTGGAGCCCTAGTACAAAGCCTTAGCCTAGAAGCCTAGCCTAGAGCCCTATTCCAAAACCCTGGCACAGAGCCTTAGACTAGAGCCCTAGCCCAAAGTCCTAGCCTAGAGCCTTAACCAGAGTCTTAGCCCAGAACCTTAAAAACAAAGCGTTTTGCTTTAAAAGCAGCCTTGTTGCCTAAAAAGAAAACTTTAAACTATGAACCTTACTTGGCTAAAGAACAGATAGAAAGTTGGATACTTTTTGCACAGTCGGAAAGTACAGTACGTCACAACGCATCCAAAGAGGGCAAAACAAACAGTAACTGTAATATACAAAAACATAATAATATAAACTATGACGTCGTCAGCTTCTTCCATTTTAAATAGGTCCTTGACTTACAAAGCTTTAGTTAGTTATAAAAAGGTTTTAGTATAACTTTTATTATAGTATAAATCACAATATCACTAGGCTTTAAGATACATGTGCTAGTCAGAATCAATCTATTCTACAACACTTCATTCTAGAATTTTTCACAATAGTTAACAACCGGTTGGTGACAGCCGAAAATTAATAAGTAATAGTAAACACGTACATATATGTCAAGACACCGTAAACCTAATAAATAGTAACTATGCATTACGTAAACAAAGAGGTAGAACTTTTACTGTGTTGAAGCAGGTAATAACACATGGCCTAATTACAAGCTGAAGCAAGGACAAACATCGTACATTCTTTAAACACGTATTTATCAGACTGCGTATATTCAATTACACCTTTAATGTATAATTGTTTTGGCATTTCCTCACAGTGAGTTCTTCAAGGACATATAGTCAAGCATCACATGACGAAATACGACATTCTTCCTTGTTCGTGCACGTGCGATCAAACAATGTAAATTGTCGAAAAATCTTTTTTTTTTGATAATTTTAGGTTAGAAGTTTTTGCTTACGGTAATGTGTTATTATACGAATAGAAAGTTATTTTATTTTAAAAATGCAGACATTTTATATTTATTTTCAAAAAAATTTTTTAACAGATGTTTCATCAAAATCACAGATTACCTTTCGATATATTATACAGTAAAGCTGCCATACAAAACAACTGATACAAATACGGTAAAAAATATAGATTAGTAAAAACAAAAATACAAATAATTATAACGCAATAAAAATTCGAGTGTATTTATTGATTTAGCTGTCGTAAGAAAACGCTAAATTAAAATTTAATCAATCAAACAATCAAGCACACTTAAGGTAAATTTGATTAACTGACTAACTTTGGTACAATAATTGGGAACTAATGGTTTTACACAATGTATAATAATTTTTCAAATGTTACTAGCACGATATAAAGCCATTGATGATAAAATTTGGATTCTTTTACAGGGTGTCCCAAGAAATTTGTCAAAAACTTAGAAAATTTTTACCAAAAAAAGCATTTCCAACTGAAAACATGTGTAATTCGGGGGAAAATGACTATTTTTTAAAAAATCATAGTGCCCTTAGTATGCACTTGAAAAATCTGAAATTTTGTGACAAAAAACCGCATGTGCCAATCTTTGACAGTGCCAAGTTTGGCATTTTTAGCATTTTTCGCAACCAAAATATAACGTTTTAGTTTTTTTCGTTTTTCTTGGGACACCCTGTATTATATTATTGCAAAATTTTTATTTACATTCACTTCAATTTCGATCGACTAAAGTAATGATTTGAATTCGACCATCCGAAAATACAGTCGAAACTGTTTTTCTGTCCCTTGCTGAAATAAGACTCCACATTTGATTTCGTACCAGCCGACTGGTACAAGTTAGTATGATGGGACTCACAGCATTCGTAGCAATTCCAAAAGCTTGGACAGCCAAAAGCGAAACTGGATGTATTATTGTTTGTGAGTTATAAAGATTAAAGGCTGATTGAGCAAAAGTTGGAGAGAATATGAACAAGCCACATAAGAATACACGTCTGTGCACTAGGTTGTTGGCTGAAAAGCGTCAAATAATGCTTAAAAAAGGAGAATTTCTTTGTTTTTAAACTTTGTAAAGTAGTGAGAAGAATGTGCTAAGGTCGTTTAGTCTATATTAAAAACGTTTTACAACTTACCACCAGCTTCTTCCTGAAGTCTTTTACATGCAAATGTCATACCAGACATGAGGTAGCACATTCCAGAAAAGATAGTAGTCGAAAACTCAATACCAACTATAAATTTTCTCTGCGGAGGAATGATTCGGACCTGTAGCGTTCTTAATTCTACGCTAGACGTACTCCAGTTTTCTACATCAACACTTAGTGTAGTACACAATGGAAGTGTCACACATCCAATTAACCATAAGACGGCGATCAACTTCAAGTTATTTTTCTTCGTCCATGACTGATTGTAATGTCGTGGTAACACGATTGAATGTAAACGATAAAACGCTACAGATGCTATATGAAGACCTAATGTGTAAATGCTTGACGCCAGCGTATACACCAGTAACTCGCGTGGTAGATTTTTATTTGTGAGTGCAGCGAAAGTCTGGACACCTCTAATTGTTAAACCAAAAAAGACGCACATGTTCTGAAAAAGTTCTACTGATAACAATACAAAAAACCCGACAATTTTTTTTGCTTTTCTAAGTAATTTTCACCTTAAAATGTCTATTTTATGCCATTAGGCTGTTCAAATAATTCTGTGCTCCTTTACTGCAAAATTTTTTTAAAGGGAGGCACAGATTTATTTGGACAACCAAATGGTACAACACTTACCTGACTACAAAACAGGTAGAAAGCGTTATACTTTCGTGACAATCTCCACGTACATATCACCATCAACCCGGAGTAAAAAGCAAGTGTGCTGCATAATATGAAATAAACGCTGATGATAACATTTTCAAGCTGTTCGTTCATGTCTGACTAATGTAAAACTCCTAGCTCATCTTATGAATCTTCATCTTGTAAATTATGTTACAATATGCTAATTAGGAGAAAACACTCTTGAAATTTTATTTGAACAGTTTTTCAGAATTTACATTTTGCCTTTAACCTTAAAGTACATGTAAAAACTGTAGCCTACAATAATATTTCTTTGTTTTAAGTCTCCGTTGTGGCTTGAAGTTTGTTTTAGTTTAGTTTAAGAGTTGTTTGAAGCAACTGTTAAATACAATTTAACTTTCATTTATGTCATAAAGATAGAATACAAAGTTAAAACCACTCGTATATAGATATCTAGTTAAGTTGAAAGATTAGCCTTACGTCACTTTTGACAACAATTTGCATTTAACTTTGCCATTATGACTAGACCTGAAGAAAGCCCACTAGGCTTGACCTCGCCGGGCTGGGTTGGCACATATATAATGGAAATAAAGGCTAAGGGTTAAAACAAGCCCAAGAAACCCAGCTTAGGTCCCACAATGAAAGATTTTACTTGCAAAAAGTGTAAAACAAAAAAATCCTTTGTCAAATCATTATTTATCAAGTTTTAAAAAAAATGTCAAAAGATAAAGGTTAATCTGTAGGAAATTGATTGAAATCATGTGGAAAAACCGAGTTTTCAATTCCTGGAATTGCTCCTTTGAAAAGTTGAGTGAAGCGATTACGGACATGCCGACTAGTTACCACCAACGCTACTGGTACAAGAGCGTTGACTAAAATACCAGCAGTTCTAGCAGTCAAATGTAATGCAAAGTAACTTTTACTTTGATGGAATTTTGTAATAAAATTGTAAAATAACGTGGGAATGGAGATGAGAATGCCACAAAGGAATAGTTGCTTGTGAACACAGTTGCGGTCTAAAAAGGTATATTATGAAAATTTTAAAACAGTAGAACTCTTGTATAACATTCTTTTCTATAACGAAATTCCAGTATAACAAACAACTTTAGAAATCATTTTTGTAGGTATCTTTATCCCTTGAAGCCAAGACTTTACGTTTGAAGTTCGGCAATATAAGTGACACTATGGTCTTACCATCACTTTCGCCATTACACTTGTTGCCCAGAAATACGACCGCAGCAAAGAAGTAACATCCGGTAGATAAGAACGTAGTGCCGAACAAAAGATCCACCAACATTGATTGCTGCCAATCATAAAGGTTATGATCAAAATAATTGTAAAAATTTGTCACGTCTTCTGGAGTATCTTTTGCATACGACACACTTACACCAGGTAATATTATAGCACCTATCGTCCAAATGGAAAAAATTAAAACAAAGTTACTTTTATTCGTCCAAAAATCATTGTAAGTCCGGGTAGATACTATGGAATGTAGTCGATGAAGAGCAATCATGAAGAAATGTATATTAAAAGTGTAAATATTCGAAAAATATAAGAAAAAACGATGATATTTTGGGTAGAATTGGCCTGTGAGTCGTTCGAGGCTTAAGAACATACGAATGAACAGGCCGTATATTATGCAAATGTGCTAAAATATATTTAAAATGAACTCGTTGCTTAAAACTTTTTGTAAAAATTACGTATCAAAAACAAAAAGAAACTTCAAAAGATCACGAAACGTGCTCAAAATTTTGAAGTTCTGTGGCAAAGAAACCGTCTAGGCCGCTCCAATACGGCTTTACGATCGGGACAAGAGGCTCCTATAATTTTTTGGCTGGGCTGGGCCGGCTGAAGAAATGGAAACATGCCAGATCTGAACTGTGGTTCTCGGGCCCCAAAATACACCCGGCCTGGTCCGGTTTTCACCCGCTACAGTGCGTCGGGCTTACTTTAAGTTTACTAATGACTAACAATTTAAAACCGACCTGCTCAGGTTTAAAAACGAATATTAAAGCAGTTTGATTTTTGACACAGAACGCCAAAGTTTTGCAAAGACGTTTCTTAATACTTTGAAAGACAAAAAAAATTATGAATAACTACAAATTTTTCTCACCTGACTAAAAAACAAGAAAAAAGGACTGTGTTTTTCACAAAGTCGCCATATACAAACAGCTACCAGACCAGTAAAAATAGCAAAGGCTCCAGAAATTATTACGAAAAGGCCATCGGCAATACTTAGAATTAGTCCTTCCGATATCATTTCTATAAGTATATTGTTACAGAGCGTCCAATACGGAATAAGAAACAAAGTTTTTGTAATGTTACTATACAAAAGAAAACTAGAAAGATTGTGAAAAATCATAAAAAAAGGTTTAAGTAGCTTGTTTAATTGATATGCTTACGTAAGTTGTAGAGTACCGTAATAATGCGTTACAATTGGCTAAGTTTTTTCACTTTCACGGTACAATTTACAAATTATGTAACAAATAAAATACGTTAAAATTTTATTGCTTTGAAACGATTTTATGTTGTTCAAATAATTCTGAGCTTTCTAACTCGAAAAGTTTACTTTGAGAGGAGACACAGAATTATTTGGATAAAATATAAATAAACCGAGAAAAAACATAAATTAATATTACATTATATATATTATTATATTAATAATAGTTTACATTAAAAACAACTATAGTTTAAGTTGTAGACACCTGAATAGAACCTCGAGGAAGGGCTGAGCTCGAAAACTGTGGCAAGATTTTGTTAAGATTAAACATCTGATGGAAGCGATTACGAACCATCCGACTGGTAATTAGCAAAGCGATTGGCACAACAGCATTCACAACAATACCAGCTGTTCGCGCAGTTAAATGTCGAACAAGATAGGATGGAACGCCATGGTATTTGGTGACCAAATCGTAAAATAAAGTTGGAAAGGATATGATAAGGCCACAGAAGAATAGGCGTTTGTGGAATTGGTTGCGACCTAAAAGTTTAGGTAAAGTAGGGTAATATAGGTTAATGTAAAGTAGGGCAATATAGGTTAAGGTATAATAGTAGTTCGCAAAATTTCAAAACTTACTTTCACTTTCACCACGATACTTCTTGCCCAAAAACACAACAACTGCAATGATGTAACATCCAGTAGCAAAGAATGTAGTATTAAACATGACGTGCGTTAATATAGCCTGTTGCCAATAATACAAATTGAGGTCATAAAAATCATAAAAGTTTATGGAATCAGAAGTGTCCTGATCAGGTTTAGCGAACAAAACTGTCATTCCAGGTAACAAGACCGCTCCCACTGTCCAGATGGTGTAAATCACGATCATATTTTGGCGCTTTGTCCAAAAACTAGTGTAATGTCGAGGTGATATGATTGAATGAAGGCGGTGGAAGGCAATAATCGAAAAATGTAAATTGAAAGTGTAGATATTGGAAGAAATTATAATGAAACGTGGGCGTTTGGGGTAGATAAAGCTTGTGTAAGGTTCTAGGCTTAAGAACATACGCACAACCAGACCGTACACTACACAAACGTGCTAAAACATGGTTATTACAAGCAAATTAAGGATAGTATTTTATGTTTTACCGATGTAAAAATGCTAACTACACAAAGGTCCAGCCTTTAAGATTTTTTTGGCGCAGTCTGGCCTAGTCTTCTTATAGCTTAGAGCTTATTAAAAATAAAGTCAAATCTTTGTTGCAAAACTTAAGCTGGAGCCTTGTTTTAAACTCCGGCCTTCAAGCCAAAACGTGCCGGTCTGGCCCAATTCTTTCAAATTTGCTTTTTCCCGACCCATCCTGGCCTGACATCGATCGGGCTGAGTCGATATCAAGCCAAACTTAATGGGCTTTCTTTCGGTTCTAATAACAACGCTTTATGTTTTCAAAATTACCTGGCTGAAGAACAAGTAAAACGCTGTATACTTATTGCAAAGCCGCCATATACAAACAGCAACACATCCAGAAAAAATAGCAAAAGAACCAGATGCGACAACAAAGAATATGTCACCAATATTCAGCAGCAACTCTTCGTCCATATTGTAACACTTCGCTTTGAATGTACAGTAATAAACAATGGACAACTTAACTATTTACAACTTAAGTATGTAGTGGCCTCTATCAACGAGTCAATAGGAATTCTTCTTGCAGACGCTATAAAAGAATCCGGTAAAAAACTGTTTACTATGTAGTACACCACTTGAGGCAAATTCTTACTTGTGCTTGACACAACTACAAATTGTAACATATGCATAGCAACCAAGTTCAAGTATCTATATAGTTAAAGTCGCCGAGATTACATCATAATTATAATACTTGCTTTTGGTATTGGAAATTGCTGTTGTTTTATTTTTAAAAATGCCTATGTACCGCATGATAACATGTGTAACGTTACTATTTATAACAAGGAAGCAAACAATTACTGTAGCTAAATGAATAACAATAGGTTTGTTAAACTGGTCATTAATGTTCAAGCTTGTTCCGTATCTTCTTTTCTTAGTATCTTAACGTCTTAAAGATGTCTATGTACGTTTGAAAATACAAGTAAAGTAGACCAACGTAATTAACCAATGTTAAACTTGAATTCTGCACGTGTATACGATAGACTCTAATACTTACCAAAGTACTCGGACTCTTAGACTAATGTCCAACCCTATGTTAGACAAGTTCAAACGTGTTTTTTGAAGTTTCGTACTGGAAACTTTGAACTTGATGACGAAGAACATAAACGAGGCTATGAAGTGGCAGATAAAAACGATCTCAAGCAGTTGATTGAGTCTAATAACAATTTAAAAATAATGGAATAAAAATCGGTTATGGTAACGTAAAATCTTTTATTTTTAAATTTTATTTATAAAATGTTGTCGAAAAATTAAAAAAAAACTATTTTTAATTTCTTGCTTCGTCACTTTTCAAAACAATAACAGAAGTTGACAAAGCGTTTCTCAAACCCATTAATGATGTCAGATGATCTCGATAAGGCCGTACAAATATAATGGTGAAAAATGCATTTAATACTAGAATCCAGGTCATAAAACCATACAATAAGACATCTCCACCATTTATTTCTATATCAAATAATATTGAGAAACTACTGGTAAGGATGGGACCGAGAGACGTCATTAGTGGTACACAACCCTAAAGTTTTTGTGTTTGTGGTTAGCATTAGTATTATGCTGGTACATAATTAGTATACATGTATATACTAAATAAATATCGGTTTAATTATGTTTAGTATTACTAAACTAAACAAACTAGAAGAGACTTACTTGTACAAAGACAACCGTAGTAAATTGACTTTGAATTGATAGTGTTTTTATAGTGAATATATGTAAACTTTCGTTTAACAATACAAACGTTTTTCTACCGTAGTAAAAGGCAGCACCATACATTATAGTGCAGCTTAGTAAAAGAGTACCAAATGCGACGTACGTTGAGTAATGGTTCTAAAGTAACATGTTTATGTGTGATATTGATAATATACAATAAAAATTGATTCCTGAATTTTATTAAAAAAAAGCTTTAAAATAAAAATAAATAAAAAACATATCATTTATACCCCAACCTAGTAAATTTAAAGCCTTACAATATCTCCAACTACTAAAATGACATTTTCTGTTTCAAAACAGATTTTAGTGGTAGCAGCCTGTGTAGCATTGTACGGTTTAGTATGAGCGGCAAAGTTACCCGCGTTGAATAAAATTGTAAATCCAAAACAACTGGCGAACAAATATGGTTTCAGCCATAGGTTTTCTGCTTCTTGGAACTGACTGAACACAATAATCATATAATTAAGGCTACAAAAAGTGCCCAAAAGTTATTAACAAGAAAAATGCCCTCACGTGCCCTCTCCAATTGACTTAACTTTTTATATAGCAAGATAATGTATATATAAGATCTTCAGCAAATTACTATCAGTCTTTCCACTAAAGAATGTTACAGCTGCACGGTGCAGTCCCCGAGAAAATCGCGCCCTTTTTATTCCGCTGCACAGTGCAGGTTTCCCGCGCGATCACCCGATACAGCCAACGATGTGAGGAAAGATTGCACAGTGCAATCCCTTCAGTGCCGCACCGGTCGGTTGTAGCAGGATTCAATGACTTGCAACAGTCAAAAAAACGTGTCGCAATCCTTCCATTGAACACAGTTGTGGCTTGAGCGTTGCGACAACCGCGACACACTGTCACATCGCCATTCGAAGCGCGACACGACAGTTTGTCGCAAAGCTTTGCACTTGCGACATTGCGATTTCCATTGGGATGTCGCCGGGTGCAAGCGACTGTCGCAGACCTTGTCGCTTGTCTCCCAATTCTCGGCGCGACAGCGATTCCTTCAAACCGCACTGTGCAGTTTTGTAACATTCTTTTCCGGAAAGACTGATAAGTTGCGCTTTCCAAGTAATCCTGACAAAAACGAGATCAAAAAATTACGTTTTGAATTTTCAATCAAATTGGCATAGTGTTTCAAACATATAACTTTGTCATTTTTGGACTTTTAGTCATTTGTCTATGATATATTTTTTTAATTTTCAACTTTTAAGCTTACTTTTTGATAATCTTATACCGACAATAGCAATTGACAAACAACATGAACATGGTCATAAACATACTGTAGGTGTAGAATGCAAAAAATAACTCTTTATAGTTTTTTAGGTATGCATTATAGCCAACAACGTAATCTTCATTGATTTTGTTAGTTGTCTGAAATAAAACATATTTTAAAACCCTTATTTTACTAATAACGAAGGTAATCATCTTCGGAAAATGTCGTAAAGATCCTAGGGTATAAAACACATCTATTAAAGTCATGTAGAGTTTATTAATAAAAAAAGGTATGCGTAAATGTAAAATGTATCAAAAAAAACAACTTACCAAATTGGTAATTGAAAACATGAATCCACAAAAAATGTCATGACAACAACATAATAACAATAAAGCTCTGTAACTCTTCAGAACACTTTTCTTAGTACATATAATAAGATATAATAATAAAGTATTCAGTAATGGACTTAAAATGGCACTAGAAATATAGCAGATGTCGTTAAAAGCAAGAAACTTGCTACATAATGTCATTGTGCTGATACAAAACAAAGTTTCGTAGCAACTTAGTTAATATTGTTACACTACCACATTTTTTGACGATGTAAACTTTTGCAAAACAGTAGATTGGCCAACGTAATAGTCCATGTACGCATTTAGATTATTTACAAAGTATCTTTTTTTTATAATACTTCAACTTCTTTCTTCTAGCACTGTTTTAAATAGTGCTTTATGTAACAGTAGATACCATCAAAACTGTATAATTACTATGTAATATAAGTTGCAAAATAATTTGTTGACAAAATCAAAAATTAATACGCTGTAGTTAAAATGCTTGGTATCTGCCACTAACAAAGAATAACAATAAAACCATGTTACTACTATAACACTTAATTTTGGATTTTACATTTTCAAACTACAGTTCATAATATTCAGTACAATTAAAATTGTAGCAAAGCCTCATGTTGTTGTACGATTGCATTTTACAAAATATTAAAATAAAATGACAAAAAATAAAACATGGCATTGTTTGCAAGTTGTTACTCTGAGTTTTCTCCACAGAAAATTCAGGCAATACAATACGTACTGTCAGCTCTTACATTATGAAAAGATTTTTTTATCTTCGATTGAGTAACAAATCCTTGTCAATTTTTCTGTATCGTTAACCTTTTAGAATCCAGGTCAATTCAGTTGTTTTTGAGGTAAATTGAAAGTGATATGCGGAGAAAGTGAAATCCGTAAAGTGAACATAAAATTGATAAAAATCTCCGCAAACGGAAGCGGTATTCAAATAAAAGGAGTGTTATTGAGGTTACTTTCATAAAATTTTTGACTTGCTCCGACTTGTATTGTCATTTAATCTACTTAAATTTTTTAAAAACGTTTTATAATTTTTAAAATTATATTTAAAAATATTTTTTAAATTAAAAATTTCAGCCAAAATGCCACCGCCCGATTCGACAAAACACTTTTTCGTCGCTGCGACAATCCTCAGCTCACTTGCTATGTTTATGGCTGTAACAATATTGCCCATCATGATTGCCAGACTAGATATTGTGATGGATGAACTCATTGATGAAACTATGGCTTTTAAAACAGCGGCTGATGCTTTGGCTGTAGAGTTACAGCTGCGACAGAAACCTCATTTTAGACAAGTTGTAAAGAGTAGAATTGCTAGAGAATCCAGCTTCTTGGACAATTTGGAAAGAAGTAGGTTTTACTGGGTTTCTAAAATACGAAAGAATTGTTTTTAAAATGGGGCTTGCTTTTCAGGTAAGGTCTGCGGGCCGGGCTACCTTTCCGATTCGGCCTTCTTCAACTTTAGTAGAACGGGGATAGGTTAGCTGGGTCTAAACGGCCCGTTACATAAGTTGTTATAAGTTGACATTTTTATTTGTAGGATCATTCAAAGGCAGAATGAGACTCCTCCAACGTCATAAACAACAAGAACAAACTAAAGGATTCATTGAGAAGAAAAGACAATTTGATGAGAAATACAATGAATGTAAGTGTATCAGTATAAAATAAAAAAATATATTAAAGATGGCAAGACAAAGAAATTATATAAATACTTTGAGCTGATTCTGAGTGAGGTTAGATAGTTTGTTTGTAAGTTAAGTTGAAAGTTAAAAAAATTTTAATTTTAAAAATTTTTGTATAAATGATAAAAACTAAAACCTCTTAAAACCCCAATTTTCAGTAAAAGTCTTCAACAATCCGCATGTGCCCAAACATACCAAAGAGATGAAAGAGCAGCTACATCAAGAATACACTCGAGTTCATACTTTGCCAATTCAGCCTATTCCTGAAAATATTATTGTACAACATCTTGCTCGAACTCATCAGAGACCGAGTGAAATCAGAAGACATCCTCAACGCTTTTTCAGTAGTGAAAACATTGTTGAGGAGACATTACTATTTGAGCCACAACAGCTGAAACAAAGTGTAAAGTGCCCTAAAGGACCACAAGGACCACCTGGAATTAAGGGGGAGGATGGATGTAGGTTTATATAGTAGTACTTTAATATTCTTATGTTTCTTGTTACCATAAAGCTTTATGTAAGATAAAATACAAATTTTATCAACTTTCAGTACCGGGCACCCCAGGATTACCAGGCCGTTCAGGCCGTAGCTACAACAACCTGTCTCCTGTATGCTTCATGTGTCCAGAAGGTAGACCAGGATTTTCTGGCCCACCCGGACCACCAGGGCTACCAGGACCAGACGGTCGTGAAGGTTTCCCCGGAGTATTCGGACCACCAGGGCCAGCAGGACCTCAAGGAGACCAAGGCCTAACCGGTGATGATGGTCCGCCAGGCTTACCCGGAAATCCTGGTTTCAAATACGTACCAGGGCCAGTCGGACTACCTGGTGCACCAGGAGAACCAGGTGAGATTGGAGAGTTTGGTACCGATGGTGAGCCAGGAATGGACGGATTAGAAGGTGAAGAAGGAATTGAAGGTTGGGAAGGAATGAATGGTACACCTGGTCCACCAGGGCCGAAAGGACCAGTTGGAGAAACTGGTGATCAGGGAAAAGACTACCCATTCTGTGAATGTCCGACCAGAAGCAAGAACGCTTCAGATTTGGACAAAATGAAGAGAGTTGTGCCGTACTATCCAGTACTCAATTTGTTGCTTTGAGAAATAAAATTTTTGGTTGAAAGTGGTTTTTAATTTTGTTGAATTTAAGAAAATTGTTTTTTAAATTTTTATTTTGTACCCAATTCTTCAACTGACCGGTTTGTCATGAGTGGCGGTAAGTTTCTGGTTATTTTAAAAATAATATATGGTAAAGTAACCTACTAGGAGTGATAAACAGGCCGGAACCACATTTGAAATCCGGTTTGTTTTCTTTTTTTTCGCTAGCCGGCCTAAAAAAGAAAAAAAAATTCAGGCCCGGCCTGGCCCGTCGCATTTTAATAAAAAAATTTACATTTTTAAAATTTGAAAAAAAAGTTAGAGCATTTATTGATCGTGGTACCCAAAAAATCAAAAAAATCAACAAAAATTAAAATATAAAATTTTTTTAATTGTCTTGGGCTTTATTAGTTTTCAAGCTTGGTTTACGTTCTTCTGATCAAACGTATAAAACCTACCTTTTTCAGCATCAAAATTTCTTTTTCAACCCTAACATTTCAGGTGGCATTTCCGAACTGATTGCGCTGTTCATTCGTTTCTTCGAGTTCCTGGTCTCCATCCTCACTGGCAATGCACCAGCACCGAAACCGCCAGCCGAGAGCCATAATGGAGAGGTAGTGGAGTACGCCAAGCCCAAAGACCCCAACTACAAAACTTTGGCCATTGTTCCTGATGATCCATTTAAGAAAAACAAATAAACTTTGATTTTAATTAGGCTAGTACTTTTTTGACTGGACTAAAATTCCTTTTGAAGTTTTATGTAATTTAAATTTTTTTTTGGAATTTTAATCAAATTCGACCTTTAATGTTGATTTTTCAAGTTAATTTTGAAATTTTTGATCATTTTTTAGCGTTTATTAACGTTAAAACAATTTAAATAGTGTAATTTATATATTTCTTTTAAATTTTTGATATAGAAAAGTAACTCAAAATGCTATTTATATAAAGTAAGATTAAGATGAGGAAGTTGAACCGTTTGATCTTAAATGAACGATCAATTTTCGACTTAAAACAGTCATTTTCTGTTAATCCATCCTTCTTTTACCGCTTTAAAACGAAGTATTTTCAACATTACCGTTTTGCACAGAGTTCCCAATGGCTTCGGCTCAGGAACTGAAGCGGGGATTTATAAAAAGTTTGTACCAGAGCTGTAGCCGAAGCTAGAAAATGAGTTCTAAATACTCCGGAGCCGACATGGCTACTGCTTTAGAGCTGAAATATACAAAAGGGGAAGCCGAAACTGTAGCCGAAGCCTGAATTTTTAAATTGGGGACTCTGATTTCGAATTTCAACTTTTAAGTTTTTGTATTTTAAATTTGAAATGTTTTGACAATTTTAAACGGAACATAGATAGGTATTTAGATAGACTTCAAAACACTTTTTCGCTGAGTTGAAACTCGATAAAACAGTTATTAATCTGCAAAAAGGTGTGTCGACCTTAATATAAAAACAAACCAAGGTGTGGAAGGTTTTTTGTTTGGTATGACAAAGTCTAGTCGAATGCATAAATTGATAACACTTTTATTAAGGACTCATTTCTTTTATCAATAATTATGAATATACTACAATAACCTAAGTGGTTATAGCTTGACGACTGTTGGACTTTTATTTATATTATATTTATTGCTAAAAACAGTTTACATTTGATCTATTAGGTCTAATATAAAATGAATGTTATTCGTAGGAAGGCAAAGTAAGTTTTTTTTATTATTCTAAAAGTATCATAAAACCTTTTTTGAATAAAAAGCAACGTTTTAAATCGATATTTTTTGTAATAATTTTTGTATTTTTACTTTTTATTCTCATCCACCCTTTATAAACCGTTGCTCAATGTTGTAGAATGACTATAAAATTTCATTTCTTGTCCTTGTGTAATATGTAAGGAACTAATTGTGTAATATGTAAGGAACATCCATGTAGTTTGCTTTGTTGAGAAACAAATATTTTACTTTATAAGTTTTTGAGAGACTTATAAAGTAAAATATGAGATAGTAAATATCATTCCGGAGTAAACAGTTCATCTCTTTGTTTTTGGGTTATAAAAACAAAACGTTCAATTTGATGATAACCTCAAGTAGGAGGCAATCCTATTGTATAGTAAATTCTTAGTATAGTGAAACCTCTTTTCATAGTGTGACAGCCTGGTTAGAAAGACAGCCATATCCTTAATGGTCTTACTAAAGAAGTTTTACTTCAGTACATGTTGAACATATTGGGTATAAAATGTCTAAAGTCATCGGTTTTAAAACAAAATATTCAAATTCAGTGATGGCTTCGAAAGTCTCAATTTTACATTTTTTTTCAAATAGGCAGTTGTTTTCTGACTTTTTAAACAGTTTGTAACATGTTTTAACATGAAACGAGTGATTTACTTTTAGGGAATTTGGGTTATGACCGAATCGTTTTATCCCTTGCGCAATTCTGCAACGGAAGCGATTCGAAATAATTTTCGGATTTTTTTGTTTTCAAGTGAAAGTTTGCAACAAACTTTTTTCAAAATTTGTTTTTAAATGTTTTCCCTATTTACTAAATTTTTTTTTAATTTTTGAAAATTCGTGGATACATTTTTAAAGATAGGTAACCAAAGGCTGTTATAGGCCTAAAAACCTTAAAAAACAAAATGTATTATTTTTTTTCGTATGATTAAGTTGTATAAAAACTAATAAGCTGTGTCTCATACCTCGCGTAGAATTCAGTAGCTCATTACTTTCTATACAACCTAAGAAATACATTATTTTTCAGATTTTGCTACATGTATCGTACCTCATGCTCCACTGTGGTTAAAGTAGTAAGTCTATTTTCTTTAAGAACTGTAAAGCCTTTTGGGTAAAGTTTTTTATCAGTTAGTATCAAGCTTTTTTAAAATGAACATTAGTTTAAGTTTGTACATGTGCTATGTAATTAAATTTATTGCTTCTACACGTGCAATATGACTTTTTCAGATAGCCTTAACATCATGCTTCCTCTTGTTTTACTCCTTCATTGCTGGTATATCCTTATTCTCTTCAAACAATGACAGTTACGAAGCATACCTAAATGTAGATGGTCCTTATCAAAATGACGAAAAGGTGCCAAATAATAAGGTTGAAAGTGTCCAGTCAGTTTTAAAAAGACATGAACGATACGATGTACACGATGGAAATGTGCCTGTAGCTAAAAATTTGAAAGATATTGGTAATGACTTGGATGTTGATGAAGATGAGGAAGATGATAGTGGTGGTAGGAAAGAGATTCAACTTAAAGATGGTTTTGATATTAAAGATGATAAACAGAAGAATAATAAGGTAGAAGTTATACCATCAACCTATCCAAACGCCACTCTAAGGCGTCAAAACATGGCCAAATGCAACCCAATTCACGGTAAAATCGCTGTCTTTGTAGCCTATCGTAAAGAAGAATACGACCAAAAATATAAGATTGCTCAAGAGACAATCAGATGCTACATCAAGTCAACTGATTACCAATTACATTTGGTTGACATGTTCAATGACCCAGAGGTTAACTATTACTGTAATCATACCGAAGTCTTCTTCAGAAAACATTGTGCAGCTGCTGTTTATCTAAAGAAGAGTGATTGGATGTTGGTACTGGATGCTGATACGGCTGTGGTTAACCCTAATCATTGTATTGAAGAGTACATTGATGACAGAGTGGATTTGTTGTTTTATGAACGGTATTTCAATTGGGAGATCATGAGCGGCAATTATTTAGTGAGTTATGGTTTATAAAAAAAACGAAAAATCATTAGAAATTCTACCCCTACGGCCAAAAAATTTTTAACCTATAATAGAGACTAAAATTGACCATAGGCACTAACGAAAAATATGATAATATTCTTTTTTTTGTAAAATATGTCATAAAATACGTTATTCTCCGCCATATATGTCACTTTATTAAAATTTATGAACAGTGTAAAATACGATGCATAGTAATTGGCCTCTGTTTTTAGGTAAGAAACACTGATTTTGGCCGTGATTTCCTGATGAAATGGGCAAACTTTGAATATACAAAGCCTAACAGTTGGAATGGAGCTGATAACGGAGTTTTACAGGTGAGATAATATGTAAAACACAGTTAATACAGCTTATTTCATAGTTTTGTTATTCTCCATAAAAACTGTTTTACCGTTAAAATTTTTTTTCAAAAACAATTTCAGATCCACATAATGCACACAGTCTTACCAAACTCGGTAAATGAAAAGAACACATGTTACAAACTGTGGACTAATGCCACTTCTTATGATACGTACCTTGCTTACGTAACCTGTGTAAAAGTGAATCTAGGAGCTCAACGATTATACCCTGGCAAGCTGAGGATATTGAGAAGAGGTCATGGGTTCGCAAGAGATGGATTCTTGGCTTATGATTCATACTGTGAACACGACTTCATGTTTCATGGTTATAAACAAAATGAAATTGGAGAGAAAAAGTGGGAAAGCCCCTTTGAGGTAAGGTTTTCGGAGGCATAGGCTGATGGAAGTGGGAGAAAAGTGATTTCAAATAATTGTGTGCCTCTGAGCCCAAAAATTTGCTTTGAGAGAAAGGCACAGAATTATTTGAACAACCCAATATTAAAAAATTAAAGTTTTCATTTTTAAAATTTCCAGACCCCAGTAGACCTCTCCAAGTGCAACAACTCATTTGATGGTTGGAATTGGAGAAAGAAGAAACAACTATCTTGTCCCAAGATCCAGAAGATTATAGCTTCGTTCGAGCGACATACTGCCAAAAACTACCCAAAAGAAGGTCAAGTATTCCCACATTTAGCTCTGCCGGATGTTGGAGAATGTTGGCCAAACTGCGAACACGACTAAATTTACATTTTCCTTCTTGAATATGTAAATTTAGTGGTTTTAAACGCATTTTTTGATGTTTTAGATTCTCAGGGGTCCTTTTTTTAGTTTTTTAACTTTAAAAACAGCTTTTATAACTTTAAAATGCTTTTACCATAGTTAAAACGTTATGACAAACAACTAAAAAGTTCCTAACATCATATATCTGATGTTTGCCAAACGTTTGGCTGTTCCCAAAGCTTATTTATACCTACTTTATTTACTCGTAAACCTAACTTATTTAAACTATTTATACCTAATTTATTTACTTGTAAACCTAACTTACTTAAACTTGCAGTTCTTGCTAAAAACGGGTTCAATTTTATAATTAATGTCACTTCCTTAATGTAATCTTATTATACTTAAGTTGTATTTTTAACTTTCAATAATAAATAACATTATGATAACCTTGTTATTCAGCACGCTCGAACATTGAAACCAAAGAAAATGTTATTATAAAGTTTATAACCTAATTAATCTACTGATAAAGAAGGCTTTCTAACTGAAAAAGAATTAGAGGCCGAAAATGAAGTAACAGAGTATAGAAACTGTTACCTAAAAGTTTCACAGTTTAAGTAACAGTTCTTCACCATTTTCAGTGCAAATTACTCGTATTTTACTCAAGATTTGCTAAATTACAACACCAAGAAGTTTTACTTACCAAAGTTAACGTTATCCATCCATATTACCTAAAAACCGAAACAAAAAACAATAAAGATTTACATTCGTCTGCAATATTGCAAGAAAAACCACAGTTAACTAAGAGTTCCAAAGAGGAAAGCCAATTTACATTTGAAACTTAAAAAAGTTACATTTACGTTTTTCCATCTTCTTTTGTCCAAACTTTACTATAATTCATCGACAATTGGTAAAGAAGTTCTTCAAAATTATTTTAAAGATGACGTATTTTCTGGAAATTTCAGAACTTTTCAAAAAATACGTTATAATGACAAGCTTTAAATGACAAAGTATATTCGTTAATTTGTTTGAAATAGTGCAATTACTAAAATTCGCCTGGCATGATCATGTCCCCGCCATGATAAAACAATTTGGTATATTTTTCAAAATATTAGGTAGTTTCTAAAGGTTTGTTCTATTGTACCCATTATATTAACAGTAATCATACTCATGCCAAATGTAGTAAATTTAGTTAACTTAATAATTCCGCAAAAAAATAATTACTTTTCCAAATGTAAGATGAAATTTAATTAGTAAAAACAACTTGGGATTATGGTATAAAAGCAGGAGGAACAGCCAACTGACAGTTATGGGTAATGCCACGTTTGACTTATTTGTTTTATATAATGTCGTATTTGACGTATTTGATGTTATACGTATGTTATACTTAACATGAAAATTCAGTATGCCTTATATCATTTGAATTTTATGCAATGTTAGGATGTTAAAAAGTCTTGTCTTTATTTTGTTTAGGTTTGCGTGTTAATAAGCGATAAAACTTAAAAATTTACATTTTTAAAAATTGCGTTGAGATAGGTATACTATATTATTATTTATGTTTTGGCATACGTCTGTTTGAAATTTGAAATGGATAATGACCTAGTTATTAACTATGACATTGTGAGATATACTTAATCTTGACTATGTAAAGCTTCTTCTTGGATAAGGAAGTTAATGTTTTCGAAAAGTCAGATAATATCATATGTTATGTTTTGTCACATCATTGTCATTTGTCTTTGTTGAGGTCTGGAATGTTATCTTTGTTACAAAAATGTTCAAACTTTTTTGTTTTACAGTCCACTCTTTAGTATGACAGTCAATAAACTGTTTCAAGCCTAATTCTGTACCACCTAACTCCGAAAATTTGCTTTGATAGAGAAGACAAAATTATTTGAACAGCTACTAGTTTTATAAGTAGTGCAGTAAAGCACGTTTGTGACCAAAGCCTTGAAAACACAAAACAACATCATCTTTTGTAAACAAAATGCTCTTTAGTTAGTAAAATGCCTTTTTTATTATAATACAACCGACATCAAAAACGATTTTTTACAAGGTTTACTTTTTATTGTATTCAGACGTACTGAATTGTATTATAGTAAAGCTGTGTCGTACTAGTAAAGAGTGTAGTGTTCTACTCATCACTGCTTTACTCATCACTGTACTGCGGGTTTTCTGCTGTTCGGTAATCAGCAATGAGATTTTGATAATAATTAATTTTTTAATTTTAAAGTTTTTTAAAATTATTGTCTGTCTTTCTTCTTTCTCGCTCCTCTCCCATCAAAGATTTTTAAATTTAATTTAACAACGTCTTTGTTATCCTAAGTCTATAAGAGTAATACTCGGTTTTTAAAATTTCTTTTTTTTAATTCAAGAACTCAAAGTTGGCCCAACTGAACCTACCGTTGTTCATTTTTGGTCAGAACGACTAAAAAGTAGGTGATAAAATGTGGCTTTGGGCTTTTGTTGTTTGGTCTTTTGGTCTTTCCGAAGATTACTGGATAATGTTTCCCGTGAGAATGGTCTTACCTAAATTTCTTGTTTTTTTACTTTAAAAGCATTTTTAAGATTAACTTGCATTTTTGAAGAAACATTGTTGGAATATAATCTTTATTTTACAGTTTTATCATTTTAATAATCTTATTGATACAGTCGTATTTTACAAAAAAGGCGCAAAATGTAGTACGCAGTTATTCAGGCACAGGAACAGTAAAATTCAATTTGCTTCGCGCAAAAAAAGGTCTGGTCTACAAAAAAATTGGATCTAGTGCCACAAACATGCTTTTGAAAACGTTAGAATTTAAACACTGTAGTAAGTATCAACTAGCGCTATGTTACTAAGTCTGCCTAGGATGATTGTTATTGTTTCTGCGCGTTGGTCCGTAAATCCTTGTAAATTATTTACTATCACGTGAATCTATATCTGAAAAAGTTCAAAAGTCAAGATAAATCTATTTTTGACGATGTTTTTGGCTGTTTTAGGTATTATTCACACAAAATTTAAAAAAAAATGATAAGGTATTTTGTTTTTGTGACATTACTTATTCATCTGTGGTATAACATTCTTCAGACGATGATATAATTAATTATGTTTGGAAAAGACATTAATTTTTGCTTACTTTTATATTTTTATTCAAATTAGCTAACATATTATACATATTATAGCGTTACCAAATTCTTGTCGTTAATTAACATTATTTTTCAAAGCAAAAAACAACAAGACTTTTTAGACGTTTTATTAATGCATAAAATTGCTTTTTTAAATTTTTAAAAGTGTTTATTACGTAGTTCAAATAATTGTGTGCCTTTTCGCAAAAAAAAATTTTAAGGAGCACAGAATTATTTGAACAACCCAGTACTATATCTTATAATTAGATTAATTACTAGATTAATACTTCACAAAATTGAGTTTTAAGCTAAAAAATGTTAAAAATTGCAAAATCTTGACCCCACTCAAGTCAAAATGGACTTTTTCTTCCAAAACGTGCCAAAATCTTCTTTATGTTTGTTTGCTTTTGAGAAAAGTGTTTCCGTCATTCGAGTACGAACACTAAATTGGACTGTATCTGTACTTTAGAATACAATGTTTTTTGATCTTGAACAACATAAAATAATATTTTTTTAGGAATTTGTGTACATTATACTTCTCGTACATTATAGTACAATCTTCTCATAGACTTTAGTACAGTTGAGTACTTTAGTACTGTCTAGTTTTGTGATAGGATACACCGATTTGGTGAATTGTAGTTAGTTTGATGTTTAGAAGTGTCATAGTTGATTTTAGCAAGAATTTATTAAATTGTTAAACTTTTAAAAGGTTTTTGAAATTTTTTTGAAATAAAATTGTATGACAATTAGTAAAAAACTCAAAACATTGTTGTATGAAACATCAGGAAAGTCGCTACAGATTTTTGTTAAAGGTTGAAGATCTTTTTGTACTGACACCTCTTTTACGACTTTTTTACTAATACTAATTTTTATGCACAGGTACTGTGGCTTTTTTTTCAATTTGGCTTTAGGACACAAAAATGACCGTACTGATCTCAAATCTTTATCAAAGCGGTCGAAACTGCCAGTGTTTGTCCAAATAGACCAGGAAACCATATTTTTGCGTGTTATACATTTTTTTTTGTTTTTAAGTGGAACTTTGTACAATACTGATGGTGTACAATTTTCTAAATGTTAAAACTAATCCATTCTGCGTGTAAATTTCAAAAAAAATTGTTTTAAGGACCACGAAAACTTTCCTCGCATAACGTTGGCGTTATTGTCTAATATCAGGCAATTTTGATGTTCTTTTTTTCATCAAGCACCTAAGAAGGTCAAAAAGTCATTAGTAAATCCAAATTGGGACTGACCCACTCACGTTTTCTAAGAAAAAAAATTTTATTGAAGTTTCATGAGGTCCGACGCTTTTTGCTACAGAACGATAACGTTTCGCGAGCACATTTTGCGGTTTTTTAAAAAATTATTATTTTGTCATTAATTCTTCAACTGACAAAAGTTTTAACACTTTTAACTTTTTCAGGTATGTGGGACAGTATAAAGAATGAAATCATACGATCACATCATTACCGTGAGAACTTCTCAAATCCTATGAGTGAATGGGTACGTTTTGTTTTGATTTTATGTAGTTTTTGACTTTTTGGCCAATTTTTACGTTACCAATTTAAATTTTTAAGATAAGCATTTTAATTTTTAATTATTTTTTTTATTTAATAATTTTAAAATATTTCACTTTAAGTTATTTGAAAATTACAATGGAAAAGGCGTTACATTAAGCATTGTCATGCCACCGGTACTATTTTTTATTTGTATGTTGGTCAGTTACTTTGGTAATGGTATGGTAATTTTAGCTACAATACGAAAAACGTAAGATTTTCGTTTGAAATTTTTGCTAATTTTTCATATTTTTCTAATTTTAAATTACTATTTAAATTAAAAAATTGTTAAAACTTTTAATTCTTTTTTTTACTACAGTAAACTCCGCGGTTCCTACAACATCTTCGTAAGCCTATCATGTCTAGGTGACATTCTACATCAGAACAGTCACTGGTTTTACCTTATCAACATGACCTCAGGCAATAACTTTATCCCATATCACTTATGTTACTATATCAACTTGCTTATGGTCCAAGGCGTCACTTTGAGCGTTTTTATGACATTTTTTGTTGGTGTAGACAGGTTAATAGGTGTGACATGTCCTATATTTTACTTGCAAATCAAAACTCGATATGTTGCTGTATGTTTAGCTTGTTCAATTACTTTTGGGTTTTATACTCATTATTTGGGGTATCAACAACTTAACAGTCCTTTTGGTAAAGAGTAAGTTACTGTATGTGGATGTAATTAAACATGGGTATACTTTAACATTTACTGGTTTATATAAAGATGATTTTAGTTTTTTTAACAGATAAGATAAAGGAGGTTTGTATAAAAAGTAATGAGCTACTGAACCCATGTGTAAAAAGTAATTAGCTACTAAACCTTTGTATTAAAATTAATGAGCTACTGAACTTTTATATAAAAAGTAATGAGCTACTGAACTCTAAAACAACTATGAGACATAGCTCATTACTTTTTATACAAACTGATACAAACCTCTATATTAAACTTTTCAGACCAGTCATGTGTAGTATAATCGACAGCATGGGTGCAGGCGCTTTACCATGGTTTAACACATGTGTACTACTTAATATACTAGATGTACTCATCTATACGATAGTGTGGATACAGTTGAAAGTGAACACGAAAGCAAGCGATACAATGAGACGAGTATTCAAGTCATTACTGGTCATGATGATGGTCGTCGGCTTTGGATGGTTGATCAATGCGTTGGTACGAAGTGTCATCATACCATATGGTCATATCCCAGTCAGTCAGTGGTTCTTCTGGGCTTCGTACTGCGGATTCTTGGTTAATATCGCCAGTACTTTGAACTTTTTCATATTGTTTTGGTTTAGGTAAGATTTTAGAGGAGGTGTTTCTTTACATTATAGTTATTTTACGTTACTTATGGTTTAGCTTTTTACTAAAAAAATTAATTCATCTTACTGCTTGAGTATGATACTACATGGCATCAAAATTTAGATGTTATGTGTTATTTTTAGCTCAGAATACCAAGCAGCATTCATATCTCTAATACCATGGCTAGCCAGGTTTCGATCATCAGACGTACAAGCCTTACCATCATCATACAATGATAGGTCACGATCTCGTGTTGATCGCCTTCATTCTATTGTCAAAAATGGAAGTTCAAGTCAGTATGACAATATTTTGTGAAGTTGATCTGCTACGGCTTATCTAATATTTAAAATGACATTTGTTTCAAAATTGTTCTTTTTTGAACACAGTATTGTCTTGACGGACAATATGGTACTGAATCCATATTTTGACTGTTTGTTTGTACATAATAGAATAAAAAGTATGTAAAGTTTCTTATACATAACTGATGAAGCCTACATTAAAAATATAGTTTCATAAATATAATATATGTTTACAAGCAAAACTAATTCTAAGCATCAACAAAGCTTTATCTATGTATAAAAGATATCAATCACCATTTTTGTATATGAACAAGTATAATATATTAAAAGGGTAAATATATAAAAAGTATTAAAGATTTTTGTATATGAACAAGTATAATATATAATAATATTAAAAGGGTAAATAAACAAAGACCAATACCAATAAAAACGATGTGATAATAAACATTTGCTTTAGGATTTGACTTTTTTCGACCCATTTCTGGTCGATATCCTCTCAATTTCCATTATATTCTTGCTTGATCCACTCTTCTTAATGCCATTTCTGCTTTTACTTCGTTCAGAATCCTTGGAATAAGGTGCAGCTAGGGCAAATCCATTCAGCTCACGAAGTTCTAGCATTGGCGATCGACTTTTCGACCGGATTTTTGGTGTTTTAGGTTGTTTGGCAGCTTTTGATAGGGTTTTTGAAGTTTTTGGTACTGTTGGAGTTTTAGGTACTATTGGTGCTACTTTGGCAGGAGTTTTCGGTTTCGGAGTTTTTGGCGTTTTCGGCTTACCGGTAGACGGTTTTGGAGTTTGTGGGGTTGTTGGGTTACTGAAAGGAAGTTAAATAACAAAGATATCAAACTCATAAAAAAAAGTCACACCAAGGAACGTTAAAGAAAGGTTTTGATCTGAGGCGCACTGATTTTGATATTTTAAACTTTGGATCTTGAAAACGTATTTTATGTGAGACAGTAAAACAGTGGCCGAATTGGTAAAAAATTTAAACATACATATTTGTATTAAAACTCTATTCTGAGAGTTGAAACTTTTTATGTGTATTAATACTAATAATACTACAAAGAGTATATAAATCTGTCGTTTCTGCCAATTCTGAGTGTTACACATTTCCGTATCAACTTTACTGGTTGTTAAAATACAACTCTGTGCCCCCTAACCACAACTATTTGCTTTTGAAGGAGAGCACAGAATTAGTTTAACAAACTAATTAAAAGTTCAAAAAATTTCAAAATTTCAAACAAATTTTTAAATCTCAAAGTTTCAACATTTTAAAACCTTTGAAAATTTAAGTTGTTTAAAATTTTAAAAATATTTTACGCCTTAAAAATTTTTTTGATAGTGCATATAAAAGTCAAGCACACCTCCAATCAAAGCACACAAGAATCAAAAGTTATAACTGCAAGCATGTAGAACAACATGGTGAATAACTTTATTTACAAACTGTTTAATTAGTGTGACATTCAAACTACAAGCAATTTAAGCCGACTTTAAGTGATAACAAACTGTGAGAAGCACACTTTTACAACCTTTTTCCTTTGACCGTACTGGCTCGTGAAGCTGCGGATGTTGTTCGTGGGGCTGAGCGAGATCTTCTGAATGAATTACAATTAAAATGTCATCCTGTTTCTGAGTTGTGGCATTTGTTAAGTTAGTGTAGCTTTATGTAGCTTATTTTGTAAAGAAAATATTTTGAATTCAAACTTTTACTTTTTTAAAACTTTTAAATCGCATTGTCAATAAATAAAAAGAGTAGTGTAAAATACGTCTGAGCCTTCATGGCTTTTTAAACCCCTAAAAAATTATTTCATAATAGACATAAGCAGCTTACTTGACAGGCGTAGGCAAAGCAGAAGTTCGAGTATGACTAGCACTGTTCGTTTGTTGACCAGCTCTAGACTTTGGCATTCCAGTAGGTACTCGTCCATTAACAGGTGCTGGCGACTTTCCAGAACCTGTTCGTACCCGTTGTCTGGATTGTAGTGCTGCAGAATGGCTGGTGATAGGGGAGTGATCTCGGGATTGGCGACGAGATTGTGAGCGGCTTTCCTATAAAATATTCTATTGATACGTGTAAATTAAAATTGAAAAGGAACCAACTAAGGCTGACCAGTCCCTGTTCTTAGCCAAGCCGCGAGCCAAGCTAGACCAGGCCAAAGCAAATTTAAAAGTGACCAGGTTGAATCATACGGACCTGAAAGCCTGGACCCAAATCAAGGCCGCAGGAGCCGAGATTAGGTCCCGCAACGAAAACTTTCCGAGACTGTTTATAAACTTACAGTACTTTTAGAAGTATGTGTTCGCCCAACTGATTGGCTTCGACTCATTGTCGTTTTTTGTCGCCCGTTCTTTTCGCGGCAAAATGGAATATGTCTTTCTGCTGCCGTTGGGTTAAATGATCTGCCACAGTAATCGCATCGGATGTAGTCTGAAAGTCAAAAGTATAAATAACTCTAGGTTAGATATACAAGCAGGTCTACCTTTCCTTAGTTTTAGCACCGTTTGGCCCGGGCCGGGCCAAAGGCTTTTAAAAGAGGCCAAGCTGACTTATGTAGAATCGAAGCCCAATCCAAAGCTTGGCTGGTGGGTGGGCCAAAAATGGGACTGTCCCGCCTTTTTTACAGACCTACTTAAGATTATATACCATATTTCTTGAAACAAGTTTTTCTATATTAAAAAAGTAGCTTTCAAGGCTCGTATTTTACATTTTACAGTATCTAAAATATCTCTTGATATCGGTCTTGTTAAACCACAACGCTAAGCTACACAAAATAATGACAAAATGGAAGAACATCTATTAGGTTTTTCAAATAATTAAGTGCCCCCTTTCAAAGCAAATTTTTGACGTCAGAGAGCACATGATTATTTGAACGACCTAATAATACTTACTTGGATTAACACTGGTTTTAGGTGGAGGTGGTAATGGTGCCCCAGTTTTGAGCGCATGTTCAACTTTACGAGAAGCACTAACAGCTCCAATGAATTCTTCGTGCCTTTCTCTCCAGTGAGTTTTCGGCCGTTGAAATACTCCACCGGCCTATAACAATATAATTTTCCAAAATTTTTGAATTAAACTGTTTAGTTGTTCAAATAATTCTGTGTCCCTTGCTCCTAAAAGTTTTCTTTGAGAGAGGCACAGAATTATTTAAACAATCTACTGTTATAAAGTTAGTTGTTGTTTCCGTCTTGTTTTTACTCTTAAAATTATATTTTTGACTTCAATAGTACCTAATTAAGTCAAAAGTCGTTAGCCTTTTTACCTTTTCTTTTTCCTTTTGAGCCTTCCGTACTGCCTGAAGAGTAATATCAGACCCTTGTGCTCGTTGTTTACCCGAATCGAAGACTTTTCGTTGTACCTTAGTTAACTTCTTACAGGCTGGCTCGTGTTTTACCTGAAAATAAGATATATATAACATAACATTGGCACAATAAATTAACTTCAATATCTTTTTAGAGGTGAGCCAAAATTTCAGTTTTTTTAAAATTTTTAATTTTCAAATGGCCCAGCTTGGCCTCGCCCGTACGGGTTTCGCCGGGCCTACAAGGAAAGTACCCAATTTGCCCCGCTCAGAATTAGCTCAAATTTTCCACATAAATTCTTTGTATCACCAATAAGACCCATAATAAATTTTAGCTTGCGTTTTTGAGCTTAAAAAATTAAATATTTGAACTTTTCGCAAATTTGACAAAGGCATTGTGTTTCAAACAATTTTTTCGGCTTTTCACACAAGCTATGCGCACAAATTTAGAACTGTAGGTCCGTTTATAAAAGTTCTACTAGCATATAAAAAATGTTTAAATTCCAAAAAATGACAAAGTTATAAGCCTGAAACAAAATGCCAATTTGGTGAAGAATTCAAAACTTTATTTTTTAACCTCGATTGCATTTCTTATTTTGCAATATAAGATATATATTGACATGATCTTACTAAATAAAAAGTTTGAAGTCAGTCAGAATAGGGCAGGTGGGGAACTTTCCAAATAAAAATATTATAAATTTTTAAAGTATATTACAAAAACTTAGTTTTGAAAACTACAAGTACCAACCCTATCTATAAAAGTATCATACATACAAAGGTATAAAGTTCAAGTTCCAAAACCTACCAGACTGCTCTTAATAAAATGTCGTCCACAAACCTTACACGGGTAGGTTTTTTCTTTTGGATCTCGATCATCTACAAATAGCAAAATCAAATTTCAAAACTAGGGTTTTCTTTACCTTTAAATGTACCGTTTTGTCCAGCCACCGCCGCCAAATTATCATGCGGATTCGGTGGTAATTTAGAGGATGTCATTTTAGATATCCCAAAAAAACTGGCAAAACGGTACTGGACTGTTAGGTACCACTTGAAGAAAATAGTATTAAATTATAGAGTTTTAGATAGGTCAGTAGAATTTTTGCAAAACTTTGTTAAATTTTGACTTTTCAAAGCCAAAAACTAAATTTTAAAATTTAAAATTTTAGTATTTTTTAAATTTCTTAGTACCAGTACAGTACCAAGCCTATTTTCTATATCAGTAGAAATAATATTTTTAACTCAAAAATGACAATTTTTAATAGAAAATGATGATTTTAACTCCAATATTCTCTTTACTTGCGCACTTAATTAGAAACAGTTAGAAACAATTGCCGGAAGGCCGAAAGGTAATGGAAGACCGATAATCTTGAACGAAAACTCTTTGCATCGGCACGGTTGCTAAGCCACAATTTCCTAGTTTTCCTAACGAAATGCCTTTAAAGCATGGCGAAACTTCGCCAGAGGGGGAAAAAGTCAGGTGAAAGGCGAAAATTCAAATTTTTCGCCCTATAATTTGCAGCCGGTTCAACGAATTGCACCCAAAATGTTTTTGAAAGCAAGGGATTTGGAAATAGAAAACAGATTTTCGGATTTTGAACGTTAAAAAAGAGTTTAAAATTAAAAACAAAAATTTAAAAAATTTTTAAATTTAAAAAATAAAAAAAAATTGAAAAAGATTTTTTTGTGAATTTTTTAAACAGCTATACTTAAAATTTAAATTTAACTTTAATTTCTTTAAAAATTTTTGCACTTTTTTCAAGAGTATGGTTACCTAGAGAGTCACATTAAGGTAACTTTTTTGGAGGCTGAAAAGTAAACAAAAAATTTTTAAGATATGGTTTTAACAGCCATCTACTGTTTTAAAAATTAGAAAAATTATCTTCCACATTGTCCTACCTTCTCCTAATAAAAAGGCGATGTTCTGCTACTGTTGATGGCACAAAAAAAAAAACGAAAAAAATTTTAAAAATTAACTCGGTAGCTTGTCTGCTGAAAAGTCAAATCTCCGTTCTCGGAGGTCGTGATAATTACAAACAAGATACCTACTACTATAGTTAATTATAAACAATAGTAGTAGGTATCTTCCATCTTCAAGAACGGACATCTTACTTTTAAGTTAGAGTGACCTATAGAAAAATGTATTAAGAATTAAAACAAACCTATATGATCATGTGTAGGCATCTTTGAAGCCTTGCAGTACCACCAGTACTCTGCTCTTCAAGCTCTACCAAAACGATGACAAAATCCAACCACCAGAGGCTATTCTATGTTAGAAACCAAAAATTCAATACCAATGTCTCAAAAATGTAAATAACACTGAGCCTTGTTCAATACCACCTTACACTTGTTCTAATGGCAAAAGAAAAGAAAATGTAAACTGAAAAAATTAATGTGAAAAGCAGGCATTTACAGCGGTTTCTCACACTATACGAGGGTATTAAAGAACTGGAAGCGTAAGGTTTCTTTGTTTTCCGTCGAAAAATGTACACCGGTTGGAAAATTTGGTTACGAAATTAAGATGTAAATACATATTATATTATAAATGAACTGATAACAACAAACAAGAATGGTCATGTTACGTAGAATCTTAAAGAAAGTACAAAAAAGTACCTTAGGGGGAACGGTGAGGCAGCAGAACTCCACTATATATTAAAAGGCTCAAAAACATACCCTACCCTACCCTACCCTACCCTACCCTACCCTACCCTACCCTACCCTACCTACCCTACCTACCCTACCTACCCTACCTACCCTACCCTACTCTAAAAAAAGATTGTAATACTCAATATACATATAACCCAATGTCCACTAGCAATATTCAGCTGTCCACTTTTAAAATTCAAAGTCTTTATACGGCAAAATGCTTTATATGGTAGATAATTGCTTCCCTATACAGCCGGTTTTTGAATAGCCGTTTTTATTGCTATGAACTACTACACAACCAAAAATAATATTAAAATTGGTTAGTATCGTCAGGTAAAAAACATCTCTAAATAAGAGTTTTTGAACCGGTAAAAAGCTTTTTCTAGATCAAATTTAAGGTAATATTTAGCAAAGCTACAGTAAAACCTTTATAACAAATTGCTAAGGAATTTAAAACTTGTTCGTTTTGAAAAGGTTTTGTTATCCAGGAGTTCTAAAAACAGTGTAGCGCTAACCGAAGATTCAAAAGTTGTTCGTTATACAGAGGTTTCTTATTAGAAGTTCCACTGTAGTGGAAAACGTTAGTAAGCATAGACAGTACCGTAAAAAATTTTAAAAAATTATTTGCTAGATCTATTAAGTATGAAACAACATCTTCAATTTATGTATTTTACAAGTCGGTACATAAAAAAATTACAAAAAAATAACATGCTAAAGCACCTATTTTACTGTTTTGTCAATTCTAGAAAACGAATTTCACAATAATTTTTCCTACAATACTATAAAATTTTGAAAAACTTAAAATTTTACCCTTACTTTAACTTACTACTATACGCTACCCAAAAAAATATAAATCCTTGTAAGAAAAAACGACTAAAACTCTTTTCTAAACAATTTGCAGCAAATGGCCAATGGTTCTTTTATTCCCATAATACCAGCGGTCAGCTATTTTTGGAAATTGCCCTGGACAACCGAAAATTGTTTCTTTACAAGATTTGCAAAGTATGTGGTAAACAAATTGTAATGTTTATATAAACTTTTCCTCCGGCAGCTATACCTGTAAAAGAACAGCCCCCCACTTTTTCAGCCAGTTCACTTTCAAATTTGACTTACCTTGTCCCGGCTCAACCCTCAGGGCCGAGTGCTGGGCGTAGGGGGAATGAAGGTTTAGGGGGAGGGGGGAACACCACCCCAGAAAAAAATTTTCGAAAAAAGTTGAACGTTGTCCTCCCTGTGGATTTTTGATAACAAATTTTTTTCGACTTCCGCCCTCAGACCAAAAGACTCCGCCCGCCCCTGACAACCCTTACTAAAAATTTTTAAAACACTGATAGTATCGTACTGATTTGGTGTCTTGATAACTTTAAAATCAGATTTTTTTTACTTTTCAACAGTCACATCTTCCGTTGCAAATCCTAGCTAGAGCTTTCAGGCCTTGCTTTGAGCCACAGCCTATGAGCTTACATTTGCGGGCCTAAGACCTAGTTGGCTTTTTTAAGGTGTACTCATACCAGGCTGTCCAACGGAAACACGTATTTTACACAAAAAACACTACAAAAATTCAAATTTCAAGCTGATGACCAATTTTCATATCAACATATTTTATTTTTCTTATTTAAAAAATATTTTTTAAATTATTTGTTGGTGTTAATAGCCTAAATAGTATTTTTTAATATTATTATATAAAACTAAGTTTATAAGTCAAGTATATAAACTTTATTTATTCATACCCGTAAAAAACTGCGTTAGAGGGTTTACAACAACATCTTGTACAATCAGGCATAAGAACTTAAATTATGTTTACAAACAAGCTAAACCGTAGTTTTCTTAAATTTCAAAATAAGCATTTTCAAATTGAAAAAGATCGAAATAAGTACAAATAGATTTGACACTATATAACATGACTTTCAGATTGAGTTAGTACTAATATTAAATACAGTACGATAGAAAGCTTTTTAGTAAAATACTTTTAACCAACTTATTAGCCATTTACAATTTAGTATTAATGATGTGCAGACTAGTGCTGACAATGTACGGACTAGTACTAATAACGCACAGACTAGTACTAGTAATGTACAGTCTAGTACTAATAATTAACTAGTACCAAAAATACACATCTTAGTACTAATGAAATACAAAGCTTTTACGATGTAACACACATACTATTTTTGTACTGGTGTTTAGTACGTCAGTTATATACCATACATTTATGAATTATCGTATGTTACGAAAACTTCGTACTACTTAGTACTAAAAATTATTTTTAAAGCTCGTACTGTAAAGGAAAATGATACTATTACTAACAAAACCCAAGTACTATAGTTGAAGTCGACTGGCACCATTCTGAGTTTCGTGATTCTCTTTTGAAGCATTCGACGAACTTTTTCGAATCGACTTCAAAAAGTGGTCGACTTCGGCAATGAACTGATATTCATACCAAAATAAAAGTGCACTGTAGGCTAGGAAAGCGAAAAATATGGCCAACGCGGCAAGTACTATCCAGCACCCTAAAAATTGTTATTTATGAAAAATAAAATTGAGTTTTCAAATATACATAAATACTTTTTTTTGTAAAATACGAATGCTTTTTCTACGAAATAATAAAAATTAAAAAATTTTTCACTACATATTCGTTTAAAAAATTTAAAATATAATTAAAAAGTGAAAAAACTCACAAAGTTGAGTGCAGATGCCAAGCCAGTTGTTAAAGGTTTCATGCATTTCTTTGAACACATACGAATCACCAGGGTTCAACGCTGCGTATACCATGAATATCATCCATACCAATGTGTACAATATTAGCATGGTCTGAAAAGTAAAATTGTATGTAAAATACGTGGTTAAATTTCTATCCTAAATAGCAACGCGTTTTGTCTGCCTTGGGCAAAAATGAAGCCAGGCCAGATTTAAAATTAGGTCATCGGGCCTAGGCCAGATTGAAAAGTTTGGCCCTAGGTTTGGGTTTAGCCGGTTTGGCCCTGAATTTGGGTCTGAGCCTGGTTAAAAAAGTAAACCATGGGCTGTATTTTTTAAAAATATTTTTGAATTATTTAGGTTCTGCAACGAAAGAATGACTTTTGATATATAATGCTACAAACTATTAAGACAAGCCAATCAGGGTTAACCTTAAATTTTTTTTCACTAGGCCGGGCCGACCTTAAAAAAAAAACAAAAACATAAAGTCAAGTCAGAACATAGGCCAGCTTAAAAATTTAGCCCAGCCATTGTTTTTAGTTTGTCTTACCTGCAACAAAAAGAAAGGTATAAGGCACATTTTGGACCATTGAAACACGGCGTACATTAAACAACATCCGACTGATATCGCCACCAAAAATGAGATCAAAAAGGCTACGGCGTGGTTAGGATCCAGACTTATGTAGCACAGTAAACCGTAGAACAATATGTAGACCAAACACAACACTTTTGACACTGTCTGAAAGCATTTTCATTTTAATTATGTTAATCATTATGAAGAGCTTCACTGTACATTTTAATATATTAGGTTGTTCAAATAATTCTGCGCCCCCTCTCAAAACAAATTTCCAAAGTTAAAAGCACAGAATTATTTGAACAGCCTAATATTTTCAAACAAATTTTTTTTTAAATAAAAATTTTTTTAAATTTTGAAAATTCGAAACTTCAACCTACTGTAATATGAAACTTGTCGAAGCAACAAAAAAAGTGTGGATTGGGAGGCAAGACCGGGTATTGCAAAGCCTGTTCCAGCTCGTAATAGGCACGATCTTCAGCCGAACACGGAAAATTGTCACATTGGAACGATGAACCAGCCGACATGGCAGTAAACGCACTACTGCTCTGTCGCTTCTGAGTGTCATTTGTGAATGAGGTGGATTGGGCAATCTCCGAGTTCAGTGAGTTGCGCGGTTGTTGAGGTACATTGCTGAAACGGTGAATGTTATATATAAAAAGGTAGGTATGGAAATGGCATTTTTCAAATTTTTTTAGGTTAAAATTTGAATTCTTGAAATTTGAAAAGCGGTAGTTTAAAAATTAAAAAAATTTTTTAACATTTGAAGATTTTTTTTTCATTTTTTAAACTCATTTTAAAAAATTTTAAGCACCCCCCCCCCTCATTACCTAAGCAAATTGATCCGCTCGTACTGCACACTCTTGCCCCGCACCTTCATCAATGGCCATGAAATAGCTAGAGATTGGGGAAAACTTTGGGCCAAATAACTTTCCTTTCTTCTTCCCCCCTTTCCTCGAGGCTATCACGAAAGAAAAAGGGCGAAAATTAGATTTCAGTCAACGTACGCGCGCCGACAGCCGACAAAATAGGGGTGGACATGCACGTTCCGAGATGACACATAACTGATAACGCCAAAACAATTTAGGCATTCTGAATACGTTATCATGCTCGAAATGAATCAAATATTATCAGGCGGGTACGTATACGCGGCAAAGGTACTTATGTTTAGAATATGCGGCCGGGCAGGTAGATTTTGAAATGACAGGGTTTTGGGGGAGAGAGGAGAGGGAAGTAGGGAGGGGGGGGGTTGTTGGAGAGAGGAGTAGATTAAGATTAAAAATGACTGGTTTTCGGTCAAAAAGTATATGGAATAACAGAATTTTAGACTTTTTGCCTGAGACTTGGTGTTTTGTGGGATCGAAAGGGGGGGGAGGGTGGGGTAGATTAACATTAGAAATTTGGCCAAAAAGTATATAGAATAATAAAAAAAATGAAAAAAAGTAACTTTAGACTAATAAAAAAAACTTGGGAGACTTTTTGCCAAGCCAGACATTTTTTTGTCAAAGTAGAGGGGATAGGTGTATGAGACGGCCCATGTGGCCCCAGCTCAGGCTGGCCTTGAGCTAAAATTAAAATGGGCTAGACTTAAAAGCTTTGCGTGCGGGTCAAAAGTAAATCCACAAACAAAATTTTTACCCCCCCCCCTCCTTTTGACACATTTACCACCCCTTTAACCAAAGCGTATCACTGACCTTCCTCTTTTAAACTCGACCTTCCGGCCTACATTTCAGCCGTTTTTTAGCCAAAATTTAAACAAATCAAAATTCATGCCAACACCTATAAACCTTCCTCACTACTTTCTCTCCCCCCCCACTCAAAAAATTCATGTTGCTACTTAAAAATGAATGCCACTCACGTTTCTTGATGATTGAAGGACATGTTGGACTCGTTCCCAACACTCGGCAGCCGGACCCTCTTCGGCCGATGCACAGTTTGAACCCCGTCCCACTCGCTCAACGACCCATTATTCTGTTCTTCTTCTTCTGTAATTATCGCTGTTACCGTCGTTCGGATCCCATTGTTCGTCGGCGTGCCAATTGTCGCCGTGTTGTCGAAGCGGACAGTTCCATTTTGTGAATGATTCACGGTTGTGTTAGACACGTTACTTTGTACATTGTTGGCTACGTTGCCTATGTTGTTTACTGTAGAATTCGGTACATTGTTTACAGTATGGCTTTGCAAATCGATTGCTACATGACCTGGAGTGTTGCCCAAGTTGCTGGAGTCAGTAGAATTACTTTTGAACTCTGATAACGATCCAGTCTGACTGATAATCTCGTGAGAACTATTGGTCGTAGTATTAGCCATACTATCACCTTCAGCATGATCATTTGGCTTACTAACAGCTGTGTATTCTTGTCCATCTTGGGCTCCATAACCTTTACTAATATTAGTTTCATACTCTTCATTGTTTTTACTACCGTACCCTCTACTCTTTCTACCGTAATCCTCCATTTTAGTGCCAAAGTCATCGTCATCAAATCCTTGAAATCCAGAAGTCTTTGGCGACCCATTCACCGCGTTATACCCAATCCTATCCGGCGTACTCGGCACAGTACTATAATGTGTTCTAGCTGAACTAGGCACCGTACTGTAGTTTGTAGTATCAGGCGAATTTGGCACAGTATTATAAGTGGTATTGGTACTGCGCGGTGATATTGGTGCCGTATCTTGAATCAGATCATTTCGACTGGTTGAATGAGTGTTTGAGTCGATCGACCGAGTGGAATGCTTTGATGGGTTGGCGGAGCTAGTTGACGCGGTGGACGAGCACGCTGGACTAGCGCGCCACTGCTCGCCCAGCTCGATGGAATCGTTGCGCTCCGCGATTTTAAAGTGAAAAATTGAGTTTGGGTGGAATTGTGAACCTGAAAATTAGAGTTTAAGGTAAAATACGGTAAAGCAGTTCAAGTCGCAAAAACTTAAAATTTCGAAAATATCAAAAAGATATCAAAAATAGATATATATAACCACAAATCTATACTCTATGAATTTCCTCAGTAATTATAAAGCGAATATGAGAGTACAAATCAAATAAATATAACTACAAAACATCAAAAAAAGTTTTGTCGTTTTTTCCTTCGGTACTCCGTGTAAATAAGCGACAAGACTTTATAAAAAATTAAAAAATTGTTCCTAAGACACAAAATCGCAAAATTTCACAAAAAAATCAAAAATGAGACAAAGTACATTAAAATTATCAAAAAATGTGACACTTCCAAAAAGCCTTATCATTGTAAATCCAATGTTAAAAGTTATAAAACCAGATAATATGGGCTTATTTGTGACTAAAGCTGTTTTTTATTGGGTTTAATGCCGTTTTTCTTGGGCCAACGGCCCAAGTGTTTTTCGAAAAGAGCTGTTATCTTTTGGCATTATGTAAATAGTTATGACTGCTGCACTTTTGTTACAATTTTTTGGATTTTATATAATTTTTTAGATTTTTTTAGTGTTTTTTTCACTTTTTAGTTACGTTTTTTCTTTTGTTTTTATGTTTTAAATTTCAATTTTTGACTTAAAACGGTTAAAAATAATTGCTTTTAAGTCCTTTACAAAAGTTTATTTGCAAATGGCATTAAACTACTTAATAAAAAAGCCAGTAAAAAATCTTGTTGTCAATTTATATACACTTGTACAATATAAAACGATAAAACTTTTTTTGCCAATTTAATGTAACATGTATTGTCAAGCCTCCAAATACCGCCTGAAGCCTTGAAAAGTACCTCATCACGACTCGGTAGCTTGAGAAACAGCGTCATTTAGAGAAGGCCCAATTCAGAACAGCTACAATGAATAGCTCTGATGATCATCACCAAACTCTCATCATCCTACCTCGCGCCTCAAATTAGGTACCTTGCGATGAAAAAAAGTATTAACTTTAACTTTTTTAACTTTTTGCATTAAAAACGACAAAACTATTTTTTAAGTTTAATATTATGATGTTTGACAGTCTACTATTTTAATATTCTGTAACAAAAATGCGTTTTTTGCTTTCATTATCACTAATATGCTTCAAACATTCAAAAAACATTTCCCATGCCATTTTGACATCATCAAAAGAACGTCAGGAGCGTTTACAAAAATTTAATAAAACAGTGGACGCATGTCGTCCACGCTACATTTGGCATTAAAGGCGCGTCATTAATTCAGAATTAGAAGCACTCGTGTCAGTTGGGCCGCTTTTATACAAATTTAATTGAATTTTCTCAATTTACATACTTTCTCGCACTCAGCAACATCGCCCGAGGCAAATTAGCGAAGAGAAGAGAATTTCGACGAAAGTGAAACAAAACTTTCTCGGAACTTGAATATTTAATATTATTTTTTGTTTTTAATCAAAAATATTAAAGAATGTTTTGAAAAGAATGGCATTTCTTTTAAAATGCCTAAAGGCGTAAAAGTTGCTTTAAGTTCCATAAGGTCAAAAAGATGAAGGCAAAGCTTTTTCTGAGAAAGCCATTGATAAGAAAAACACGTCAGACTTATAGAGTAGTCTTTTATTTGGCTTTCTATTGCTTTAATTTTACTACAAGATATTTTTAAAAATTTTTAAAAATTAAAAAAAAAATTTTGCATCTTTTGAAATTTCGAAACGTGTTTCTAATCAAACTCAATATTCTAAAAACTTTTTGACCTTATTATAAAAAAAAATAAACCCAGAAAAAAGCAAAAACTTAAAAGATACCCTACACTACCCTGCCCTACATTATCCTGCTCAACCCTACTCTATCTTAACACAATACCTACTTGTCACTCGAAAATACCCATAAAGCAAGAATAAATAGAAAAACAAAGCAGTATCAAAGTTACCAAAATTATACTAAAATAGACACTTCTATGATATTACAACTTCCACTGTTAATACAAGTGTAAAGTCAAACTCGGTTCAATTATAAAAAATGTTGTGTAAAGTATTATACTTCTAAGATGCTACAATAGTTTACACGATTATGAAACATCATTTCTTACTACAAGATTATTTTTACACTGGTAAAGTACAAATCTTTGTATATTATTATACATATAGTGCTAAAAAAAAGTTTGTGTATATAAAAAATGACAAATCTCTAGAGTGCTGTTAGAGGACATTTTTGTTGCGATGGGATTTATATGTTTCTTATTTTTTGAAAACATCTTTTGAAACATATAAAAAATTTTTAAAATTTTTCAAAATTCTAAAAAAAATTTTAATAGAAATTAAACAGGCCGTATTTTACACAAAAACAGTCTCAAGAACTTCCTCAAAATGATTGTACTATAATACTGAAAATGGTTTGTGTACTATTTGCTGTTTGATGTTATTATAGCCAAATTTCACAACAAGTCATGTCACTTCCGCTAGCCAAAACAAGACGCCTAAAGGCAACAAAATTAGCCAAACAAAAAGTTTTAGACCCCACACAAACAAAATTGCCTACATCACATTGGTTAGCTTTATTGGTTTGGCTAAAGCAATATTAAATATGCCATGCCTTTATCTTACTTTACCTTACCTTACCCTACCCTACCCAACCCTTATTACATACTTATCACATTCAAAATGAAAGCAACATCAGCATCATTATGACCTAAATGTGCAAAAAACCGTTTTTTACCCTCCCTACAATCACAAATTCAAGAAACACCTCGTACAAGCCTAATGAACCCCATGACCCTCAACTCCACCATCACTACCGTTCATGAAATATTTATATTATAACCAATTCTCATAAAACGATATCCATTTAACGCTCTCACAACGCATAATTTAATAAAAGAAGCGGCCGAATAACACTTGGCCACAAAAATCCCACAAAAACAACCATGCCCAGACAAGGATCGGGCGAAACAAAAAAACCGGTTACGCTAAGTGTAAATTAGAGGGGGGGGTTTGGACTG